TCTCCAATAAAAATAAAGGTAAAAACAAATCCTGTTTAACCAGCAGCTGCAATCCGTTAGTCACATGAGTGTCTATGATAAAGGATGCAGGAAAGAATACAGGAAATCATATTCTAACCATGGGGTGATTGTTGGGCTGGTTTGAGTGTTTCTATAACTGCTGATCTGGATTTTCACACACAGCATCTCTAGAGTTACTCAGAATGGAGCAATAAAGAAAAAACATCTGGTGAGCAGCAGCTCTGTGGATGGAGATGGCTTTTTGATGATAGGGTCAGCGTAGAATGGCCAGACTGGTTTGAGCTGATAGAAAGGCTATGCTAACTCAGATGACTCTGTACTCTGTGATGAGCAGACAAGCATCTCATAACGAACAACACATCAAACCTTGAGATGGATGGGCTACAACAGCAGAGGATAATGCCAGAAAGCTGAGGCTGCAGTGGACACAGGCTCACCAACACTGGACAGCTGAAGACTGAAAAACCTAGTCTGGTCTCATGAATCCGGTCCAGGCTGGTGGAGGTGGTGTAATGGGGTGGGGGGTGTTTTGTCAGCACACTTTGGGCCTGTTAATAAAAATCAGTCATTGCTTGAAAACCACAGCCTGTTTGAGTGTTGTTGCTGATCATTTTCATCCCTTCATGACCACAATTTACCATCTTCTAATGTCTACTTGCAGCATGATGATGCACCGTGTCAAAGCAAAAGTCTAAAACTGGTTTCATGAACATGACAGTGAACTCAGTGTTCTTCGGTGGCCTTCACAGTCACCAGACCTGAAACCAGTAGAACTCCTTTGGGATGTGGAAGAACAGGAGACTCACAGAATGAAAGTGCAGCAGAAAAATCTGCAGGAACTGCATGATGCTATCATATCAACATGGACCAGAATCTCAAAGCAATATTTCCAACATCTTGTGGAATCCATCTTTAGTTGTAGTGCTCATTCACTAATACTCATTAAATCCATTTCTTCTTCCTCTTCCGTTCTATGAGCTCTCAGAGTGTGTAAAAAACACACTGGACTTGATGTGAAGGTTCCAACACGATAAAAATCGCATCTAGAAAAAAAAATCATACTGAGCATAAACCTCAACTGTGTGACGTTCACACATTAAAAAAGCATATATATATATATATATATATATATATATATATATATATATATATATATATTAACTTAATAACACACTTTAAATCCAAATATTTGGCTACATTTGTGGGGCTAAGCCAGGTCAGACTTTCAAGATGATTTGAAACACTTAAACTGAGAGATGAGGGTTATTTCAGAACTGCTGCCTTATATAGACTCAGATATAGAACACCTCCAGTGTCCACTCCGGAGCCCATTATTCAGTTTGACCCATGAAGTTCCTGACAGCACTCCCCCGTCCAAGCAGATAAAAATACGCCTGTCTCAGGAATTAACGCGCCGGATACGACACGCGGCAACAACTCCTCCATATAGACCTTCTCCGAGGTGTTCTCACTGAGAGAGACAGCAGCTCTCTTACAGAGTTCACCCAACCCGATGAACGAGACGCTCACAGGTCACTTCACATGACTCAGAGTCCAGCACTGAGTCTTTAGTGGAGGGTCTGTCAGGTTCAACACGTTCTTTAAATAATGAGCTGTTCATTACAGAAAAACCTTCAGAAATGAAGCTACATGCAGGTGTTTAGAGGAAATCTACTTGAGACCATTGGTTAGTCTGTACTTTGTGTATAATGAGCTAATGCAACAATCCAGCTGACACTTTAATACACTTTAAAGGAATGTGATCTGTGACTTAAGCTGAGCTACACGACTTTTAGCCTGATTTTAACCCAGATTTGCTTCTTCTGATTCAATCAATTTTCCAGAACAGGAGTTCAATCAGAAGTGATGGGCGGTGCAGATGATCTGACAGTGAGAGACAGAGGTCTGCATTCCCACAGGAGCCACCACAGTATCTTAGGGCGCAGGGTTAATTTTCACTCATTTCCAGGTGGTTAGATAGTGAGACAACACATATTCTAATAACAATCTAATGAGCGTATAAAATAATATCTAACAGAGAAATACTAATCATTCTACATAGAAGTTCTGAACTAATTCTAAATAGAAGCAACCAGCCACACAAAATGCTTGTGGGCTACAGAAACAGCACAGCGGCAGTCAGAGCTCTTAATAAAGGTGAATACACAAAATAAAGCTGAATCAAGGCCAGTCTGGCATACAGTGGTCATTTTTAACCATGTATAACAAAGATAAAAGCCAGCTATACAGGACTGCGGGCAGGAGCGGGACAAATAGTGCTGATTCTCTGTGGGAGTGGGACGAAAATTTGTGGTAGCTCCTCTAGTGTGAGAGGAGAAACGAGTCAATCTCTAGTCTTCCGATCCGCTTGGCAACGATCAGAAGAATTCTGATACTTAATCGATATAATAATTAAGATGGTCAGCAATTTAACTGGACGAGTGAATCAGGCAATAGCGAAAGACAGAGCTGGAAGAGAGTGAAAAAAGAGATGTTCATGCTGTGTGGAGACTGAACACTCGCAGAGTCGCTCGTCAGCTGCCGGTTTGTAGTGAATCTTTTCAGCGTTTCTCAACCCAGTCTGTGTTTTCTCACTGCACTTCTTGCAATAAAGCACAAACAGGTCCAGTTCAGGTTTGTTTGTATCACATGATAACGGGGGGAGATCTGGGAGTTTGAGAGCTTTTTTGTCGCAGAAACTCATCGTGTGTGATTATCTAGCTCTGCCTGATGTTCATCGTCACAACAAAACTAGAAGAAATGAAGTCAAATTTTGACAATAAACCTTTCGTTTCCAGCCTTCTGTGAGCGACTCTGCGCGTCAGTCATTCAACACGGCTTCATAAAGAGCCTTTAATTACAGAAACACCTTCAGGCTGAGCGACAGAAATGAAGTGCTACACACATTAAATACAGGGTTTACAGAGAAGAGAAACACTTGAAACAGTTGGTTTGGATAGTAAGTATGTTAGGTAGCACAACAGCTAATGCAGCTGAAGTGTTAGTAAAGCTGAGTGTGCACTACACAACTTTTAAAAGTCCAGCCGATGTCTAAGACGGAGAGCATCACTTCTCATTTCTAGTCTTACGCGTGTAAATTTGCCTGTCAGTTGTGCTGCCCTGTGTGCAGTTATTACTGCACTGCTGTTCTCTTTCAGTTCTCCGAGCTTCAGGAGCTGCAGGAGAACAGCAAAACACGGTGCTGCAATACTGACCTGCACACAAGAGGCTGGAAATGAAAGGTGTTATCATTAGCTGCAGGGATTCTTGACCTGGGGGTCGTGAAGGCGGAGCTACAGGACACAAACCATCTCAACACACAGAAAATTATATTGACGATACAAGCTCTGCTGAATGGCTCCACCTACAGGCCGCAAAAGCGGTTGAATTTCTATTGGCTGAGCTCATCAGTAAGGGGGCATCTTGACTGGCTACTAAATTTTAGGCTGTGTCTGAGGTTTGAGGTGAAGGGCTAGTTGGTCCAGTGCAAGTCCAGTAAGAGAGCAGACCGACTGTCTGATCATCATGTAATTTCTGTAATGTGTACACTGGAGTGTGTGTGTGTGTGTGTGTGAATGGGGGGCTGGGAGGGGTGCTGGTTGACAAAGAGGGGGTCACAAAATATTTTAAACCCCTAAGAAGAGTCACACCATGAAAACGGCCAAGAAACCGGCCAAGTTTTTTCAGGCTGAAATTTCACGAGTCTGAATCGAATCGCGAGTCGGCTCTCCGTCTCTCCCGCTGGCCGCGGTCGTGTCAGGACAGGATAATAAGTCTTTGTGGACGAGTGCGGAGCGAGTTACTATCACAAGGCGTCTCGGCGCAGAGCAGACAAAGGCCTTTCTCTGCACTGACCATGAGCTAGTTGACCGGTTCTCCGCGGCGCTGCACACTTGTTTTCTTATCTGTATGTAAATATCTGATTTCATTCGGTTTACTTTGAAAACTACACAGTCGAATCCAAACAGCAGGACAATGAGTGGACTGTGCTCACGCAGCACCGATGTTATTTGAGGTATCAGTTTTATCTTCTGGCTTGTTTTGGTGAGTTTCCTCAGTTTTAGACCCAGAAAGATCAAAGTGAGCGTGCTGATCTATAAATATGGAACAGATAAAAGAATGAACCAAAGATAAACAGTCACATTACAAAGCAACAGGACACACAGGCAGAATTTTACATTTCAAAATTTTATTAAGCATGCAGAAGAAACTCTGCCCGTAAGGAAGGACGTTCAGACTGTTCACTCACCATGCCTTAAACTTATGAAGACGGATCTGGGAGAAAATTTGGGACCATCTGAGAACCTGCAGGATTCCTTACGTTCTCTTTTGGACACATTCAGCTGTAGTGGATGAACTGCACGCTGATGGTTTTGTATTAATTATGAAAATATTAAAGGGCTACAACAGCAAATTCTGGAAGACAAGATTTTTGCAAAGACTGTTATGAAAGGCTGAACGATTCAGTGCTTTTATATCAAATTCACAATTCAAACAGTGCAATTTTAATTATATTGTGCAACATTAAACTTTGTCAACAAGTTTTAAAGGGGAATTCAACCTACCTTTCTGAATTTCTGCATAATTAAACAGTTAATATGTAAACAGAGTCGTTCAGAATAGTTCAGAGTGGTTTGGTGTGAAATGCTCTGTTCTACAGTCAGAACTGTTCACAGTGGTGGTGATAGGAACCAGACGTCCACCTCTAAAAGCTCCCTTACAGAAAGTTCCTACATGAAATGGTTATGAATTCACTGCCTGATGACTGAGACACTGTTTTATGATAGTTTAGAGAACTTAAACTCCATTCATGGTGGAGGGATACATGCAGGGCGCTGTGAGGCAAAATAGTCCCCAAAGAAAACTTATTATTTCAGATTTTCCACTATTTTCCATCATCAACATTCCATATAAACTCAGAAGACTCGTGTAGGTTCACTGGTGGTTCTGGATAGTAAATAAAATGTCTATATCTGTGTTGTAGTCATGGCGACCCCTGGTTCCTATCACCACCACGGTAAAGACATCTGAACCATTTCACACCAAACCGCTCTGAATCTCTCTGTTTACATCTCACACATAGAATTATGGAGAATTTAGGAAAAAAGTGGTAGAACCCCCTTTCAGTGTGAAATTTAACCTAAAAACTGAGAGTTTGTGAACAGTCTGTCACGCTGCAGTCAGTGTTCAAAAATGTGGACGTGCTGGTCTTGTTGGCAAATTTATAGAACATAAATCACATTTTCATTGTAATCACAATATTGATCAAAATAATTACAATTAGATGTTTTCCCCGAATCGTTCAGCCCTGCTGTTATGGCATCGAGTATCAGGCACGGATAAATATTCTCAGTAAGAATTCTAAAAAAGTGACGCTCTTACAGTAACGTTTGTGCTAACAGACTTTAGAAAAGTGGCCCAGGTCGGGTTCTGGACGCTCCTCCAGCCCAGTCCTGCACTAAAGGGCTTTTAAAGCACTGTGTTGTGGTTCAGGGTTTAATCGCCTCAGTTCTGTGAGCAGAGTATAATTCCCATTTTAAAAAGACATTTCACACTGTGCACGTTCTCTGTCCACGCTGTTGGTTCTGTAGAACATCAGGTACACGTTTGGAGGGCCCACTACAGTGCACTTGGCTGCTGTACTCAGAAAAAGGGAAGGGGACCCTTAAGCGAGGCGGCCCCCTGGTTTCATCTGTATCTTATCACCACAAAGTCCCTTAAACAGAAAAAGCTGCCGAGCTCTGGAGGAGCCGAGCCAGGCCGGGCCTTCAAAGGGCCAGTGGCCGACCGCCGTCTTCAGCAAACCCTCGTCCAGGGCTGCTTCTCATCATCCTGACAATAAAAATGAGAGGAATAAAAACAAAGCAAAGTTTCTTCCGAAGGGGAAAAAAAAGAGAGAAACAGAAGAGGAGCAGAGATTTCCGCAGCTGGCTCCTTTTCCCTGAAAGATCCTCCTTTTCATTTCTCTCTCTCTCTCTCTCTCGTCTCTCTCTCGATCTCTCTCTCTCCCCGTTTATCCGGCACAAAGGCGGAGAGCTTTGGAGAAGGTTATCCTCCAGCTGGAATGCCGTGGAGAGAAAGGCAGCCGCATTCTTCGTGGGCTCCCTGCAGGCAAAGGGACGGAGTGCTGAGCGGCTCTGTGAGGAACATGCGGCGACAGCATGCATTAGAACGGTTCTCAGGGCCAAATCAGTGTGTTTGGAGAACAATCAGTTCCCTTTAAAGTAGGGCTGGGCAATATGACGATATTTTGTATCGTGATAAATTATGTCCCAATACAATATGATCAAATACCTGAAAAAATAAATATTGTGATATATCGTGGAAATATTGCGATGTTATATTTTCACAATATCGCCCAGCTCTGCTTTAAAGACTGTAAACGCCTCTCAGATCTGGACGGAATGGCGTGATGGTTGAGATGTCTCTAGTTGACCAAAGGCACTTATCTGTACTCAGACTGTGGACGTAATGGACAGCTGGAAGCGTCTGTTTGTCTCCTAACGCTTTACTGAAGGGCGGCATTCATTAACCTTTCAGTATAACTGACTGCGTAAACATTTATTCAAGCTTATAGTTATAAGTGTCACTTATCTGCTTTAACCAATGATAATGATAAGGATAATGATTCATCACTTTTACTTTGAAACTGCAATTTTAAGTTTTAGGTGAAGAAATTTGACCTATTATTGCGGCCATGAAGTCCATCAAGCCTGCTTTTAAAAATCCCCCGAAGTGTTTCAGCTCTCATGTCATTTTAGACTAATGCTCTCTGGAAAAAGCCTTTATAAACGTCTATAATGGTTTATGTCAGTTATAATGTAGGTGTCTTGCAGCCTTATGAACGCTGCCCTTCAGTGAAGTGTTGCTGTTATTTTAAAGTGGACAGTCCACCAGCTGGCCCGGTCACTGTGAGGCTGCAGTGTGCTCGCTGTAACGGCTCCTGAATATGAGAAAAGGCAGTGCATGCTTTCATAGAGTGGAAAAATCCTATAATAATCCTACTTTAACAAGAATACGTTCATATTTACACAAGACACAGAGTTTTTCACTGATTTCCTCCAGATTGAAAACAAGCCCAGGAGCTTAGAGGAGCCCAGGATCAAAAGAGTCCAAGCTGAGTCCAGATCAGATGTCCGCGGTGGTGGAGACCTGGGAGAGTCGGGGGTCGGAATCGATCTCGTATCGGTAGTGATAGCCCTCCCACACTTCTCTGCAGGCGTCCCGCATGTCATAGACGCGCTTCTTGATGCCTTTGCGGTTCAGGTAGAGCACAAAGAGGAACATGAGCCCCACGAAGCCGAGCACGATGCCCAGGAACACGTAGGACGTCTGCAGGGCCAGGTTATCACCCTCTCCGGCCCGGTGGCACCCCAGCGCCAGCGCCCCCCCCACCAGCAGGGAGGTGTTGCGCAGCTCCACGGGGAACAGACAGACCAGTCGCTCCACGTCCACCACACGCGCCCGTGACGTGTTCAGCCAGGCGGTGAAGGGCTCGATCCCGCATGTGCACGTGTACGGGTTCTGCCCGAGGTGCAGCTTCGCCCCGGGAACGCGCTCCAGCTCTGCCAGGCCCTCGTCTCCAAAGGTTTTCAGGGCGTTTAGGCTCAGATCCAGCTCCTCCAGCTGCCCCAGGCCTGAGAAGGTCTCATTGTAGACGGACACAATGGAGTTGTTGGCCAGCTGGAGGCGTCGCAGGCCGCTCAGGTGGGAGAAGATGCGAGGGGGCAGGTAGATCAGCCCGTTGCCGGACAGGTCCAGGCTCTGCAGGCCTTCCAGGCCACTCCAGCGTAGCGAGGTGGCCAGGTCCATGACGGAGGAGTGGTTATAGAGTGCTCTGCTCAGATTCAGCTCCTTCAGCATGCGGCCCGGCACCGCGAATGCTTCGGGGTGGATCAGCGCCAGCTGGTTGCTGCTCAGGTCCATAGATCTGAGGCTGCGCAGGCTGGAGAAGGTGTGAGACGCCACCTCAGATATTCTGCAGAGAGAAAAAGAGGATCATCACTCTGCTCTGCGCTGTAGGAGGGGAGAGACGCACAAGCTCTTTGGGGCAATTAAAGGGCTGATATACCACATTTCTCTCGTTTTTTTCCCCCCTGAGGTCTATTTATGATGACTGTGTGGGTTTATGTAGGTGATCTATAATGAGTCACCTTACGCCTGCGGCAGCACTGACCTCCGACTGCTGCGCTGATTATTAATAAGATCAATAACTCTCACTCTCTGTGCTGCAGTATTATACACATCTATGTAAATACTCACTTCTTCAACACTCACATTACGCTGCCAGTGTTATTGTGCACTAAGAAATGCCTAACATGAATATTTCGATAGATCTTCACTGATCCCGAAGGACACTGGTCATATATTTCATTATTTTGATCATGTAAATTTGTATACAGCTGAGCTCTTGTGTGTCATTTTATGTATGTAATAAATGCCAACAGGTATATATTAAATTTTAGAAGATAATGGTCATTTGAATCAAATTAATTAAGAAAGTTTTTGGGAAAGACAGATGAACAGAACTTTATTAATCCAGAGGGTCACTGCAGCGTTACAGAAGCAAAAACAGCCAAAACTTTTGTTGTTTTTTTTTTCCCAAATATGTTAAATTTAGCAATTAAACAGTAGTTGTGCTTTTAACTTCAACAACAATTTGGGGCATCAAAACTATTGCATACAACCGTATATTAAGTATCACCATATCTTAGATATATAAAAAGAGACATAAAAGATATCTAATTATCTATCTGTCCATCTAATCCATCTATGAACCAAAAACCTCATAATTCACTTTAAGTAAACTCTCTTTATCACTTACAAATAAACAGGCTGGTTTTGTTACTTTGCCTTTAGGACTGATATATGTAAATAAGCTCTGTTCTGATTGGCTGTCTCATTCAGAAAGCAGTCTGAGCTCAAACACTCCTTATAACTTTAACTCTGAGTGGGCGGGGCTAAAATGCTGTAGGCTGAATAGGCAGTTATATGTAAATATGTGACATCACAAAAAGGATGAATCTAAAACAGGCTGTTCTGCTGGTTTAGCTCTCGTGCACGAGCTGTGAGGTAAACAGTAACCGTGTTTACACACTACACCAAATTTTAGTTTTTCATGTTACGGCCCTTTAAGCAAACATCTACCAATACTGATACGATTCTAACGTCATCGTGTGTCCCTAAAAATTACAGTCAGGACACAACGTGTATGAACCTGTGCTATCAGGGATGGATCATAGTCTCACCCCCACACCCCCACCCAAATATTCTGACAGTGTCACAAAAAATATGTGAAAAACAGACCTGCAAAATAACATTAAAGGGCCGATATGAGAAGGTAAATATGATTTTTTTACAAAATTAAAATATTAATTACAAGAAAAAAGCTGAGCAGCTCATTTTTGTTCATGTGCGCTTTGGAGAAAAATGTGATGCAACCAAAATGATTAATTCTCAAATAAATATAGCTTATTGTTTCCTGCAGTTATATTTTTGCACACTGTTGGTGTGTTTCGAGGGGCTTTTAAAGGAGAACTCCCCCCATTTTCTGAAATTCCTTCATAATTAACTGTTTAAGATGTAATCAGAGTCGTTCAGAGTGGTTTGGTGTGAAACGCTCCGTTCTAGAGTCAGAACTGTTCACAGTGGTGGTGATAGGAACCAGACGTCCACCTCTAAAAGCTCCCTCACAGAAAGTTCCTACATGAAATGGTTATGAATTCACTGCCTGAATAAAATGTCTATATTTGTGTTGTAGTCATGGCGACCCCTGGTTCCTATCACCACCACTGTGCACAAATTTTGGAAAATGGGTGGAATTCCCCTTTCGTTACTTTAAAGTGACAGTGCATGGGCATCTATTTAGTGATCATCAAATCCGTGATAAAGTGTCAGGTATGTTGTTCTATCATATCAGCACAGTTTATACACTCTCAACCCGAAAAGCAGTGAAGAGAGTTCAGCTATTTCAGTTATTCGGCGGTACTGGCCCTTTAAAAGCCCTTGATGGACGTTTACCTGTTGTTGCTGAGTGACAGTGTGGTCACATTGTCCAGTCCTGCGAAGCTGTCCGGTCCCAGGCGGCTGATCCGGTTCCCGGTGATGAACAGGTTGCGCGTGTAGGCGGGGATCCCGGCCGGGACGAAGCGGAGCTCCTTCGAGACGCACTTCACTGTCTGAGCCGCTTCTGAGCACTCGCAGCCCGATGGGCACGAGGAGGAGCGCGCGGGCTGAGCGAGGAGGAGGAGCAGGACTCCAAACTGGAGCATTTTCGCTTAAAAACTGAACAAAGGAGCCTAAAAAGCGTCTCAGCGTTTCTGTTTCATCCTGCGCTCAGAAAAACTCCAGCACTTCGGCTTCTAGGTTTTAGGTGAACTTCTCCGTTCGCACGTGTGTGTGCGCGCGCAGGCAGAGGCGGCCGGGTTTTGATTAACATCAGAAAAGCGCGAGCGCTGCTGAACAATGAAGTTAAAGCAGCCTCGCGCCCCACAGTCGACAGGGGAGGAGGGGCCACGAGCTTCATCCGGATGGAGGGAGTTAAAGAACTGAGAGAGTTAAAGAGACATTATAATGATTATCAATAAACTAATCAATCAATAATGGTTTTATATATATATATATATATATATATATATATATATATATATATATATATATATATAAATATATAATATATGAAGTGTGCAGCACCGTCAGTGATTATTATGGGATGAAGTTGGCTCCTTATTCGCCAGCTTCTTATTGGAATTTTCCGTTCCACCTTAAATGGTGCAGCAGTTACATTCTAGCGCCTCAGCCTACACCATTTAAGGTGGAACGGAGAATTCCAATAAGAAGGTTTATTTCTGAACTTCTCCGTTCTAAGGTTGTAAGAAGAGGATGGCAGGACCCCAAGACCCCCACCACCACCACCATTCTGTCCCCGCCCCCCTTCTCCCCCTCTTCCCTTTGAACACAGCAGGACTCCAGCGGCTTTCGGAGGACAATAGCTAATAAATTAAAGCTGTCTGAGCCTCTTTGAGATGCAGTTTGTCTTTTGACAGCCGAGTGTCACAAATGCAGACTGTAAAGCGACTATCTGAGCTCAGGCTTTATTGTCCTCAGTCCTTTAGACACTTACTGCACTCAGGCTGATGTTTATTACTGACCACTGCCCCAAGAGCTGGTTTCCCAGACTGGGATCAGGTCCAGTCTAAAGTATCTGCAATGCAAGCCCTTTTAAGTCTGGACTCAGGCTTAATCTGGATCTGGGAATTCAAACTTTAAAGGTGGGGACTCAGACATAAAGTCATTCTAGAGTCAAAATTGTTCACAGCAGTGGTGATAGGAACCAGACGTCCACCTCTAAAAGCTCAGCCACCGCAAAGGAATCCTTCACATTTACATTCAGACCACTGAATCATCTCAACCACTGAATCATGCAGTGATGCTGAAATATTGGTGGAATTCCCCTTTAGGCCTCGGACTAAATGATGAATCAGCATTGGAAATTCTTGTTTTGGGCTCAGTCTGGGTCCAAGAAACTGGCAACATGAGTCTGGGATGTCTGGGTTTCATGGGTCTTTTCATCTTTGCTGGAGAGGATTAAAGGGCCGGTCTTATGGAAAAGTGAATTTTCTTCACTTTTATGAGAATTTGATGTAGTACATAAAACATAATATTCACTTCTCAGTCCATGCAGTCCAAATATGGACAGTAAACTGCAAAAACAGCCTGTTTTGAATGAATTGTTTCTGAGATGTTACAAAAACATCGCAGGGGGCAGTCGTGGGCTGGAGGTTAGGGCCCTGTGACCAGAAAGTCACTGGTTCGATCCCCAGAGCCGACAGTACATGACTGAAGTGCCCTGGCAAGTGTGCTCACTGCCTCCTAGTGTGTGTGCTCACTAGTGTGTATTTGGTGTTTACATATATATATATATATAGAGAGAGAGAGAGAGAGAGAGAGAGAGACTGTATATGTTACATTCAGCTTACAGCAACTTAACTCCACAATTAGTTACAATAAAGGACAGCCAATCAGAACAGAGCTCATTTACATATATCAGTCTTAAAGGCACACTAACGCACACAGCTTGTTTAACTGTGAGGGATGAAGAAAGGCTGGAAATTATCATGTAAAAGTAAACTATGACTGGTTCATCACACCTGATAACTGTCAAGAGTGATAGAAGAAATAAAGTATAAAAAATGTAGCATATGGGCCCTTTAATGTCAAACCACTCTCAATGACTCTGTTTACATCTCAACATCTGAATTATGCACAAATTTGGGTGGAATTCTCCTTTAATGTTATGCTTAATTACTATATAGGGTTTCAATCACCAAGCAAGGCCCAGACTGTACTAAGTTCTGTTATGTAGAACCGCGGTTCTCCTGATTCCGCTCAGGAAGGTTAATGATGAGCTGATGAGCAGATAAACGCAGCTCTCGGGTTTTTTTGCAAAAGAATTTTCCACTCTGATAAAGAAAGACATTTTTATTTGATAATTATTTTATTGAACAGAAATAAGTGAAATTACTTGTTAGTGAAAGAGTTTTTATGCGAGAAAGTAAAGCGTCAGCGTCTGAGGGGCTGAGCTGAGCGTGAGGCTCTTTCACCTCTTCACCGCTCAGTCGGAGCAGAATAATGCAGTGAAGAGTTAAACTGCAGGAATCCACATTCCAGAAGCTTCTTCATGGATTCACCGATCAGCCGATCTTTAATATCGCCCTCCTGAAAAAGCTCACAGTTTCACTCAGTTTTCATGAAGCAGACGGCACTGAAACACAGCCAAACTCAACAGTCTGTCATACAAATCACTGAACTGACCAGAATTAAGGTCAGAGCTGAAACATGTTTGGGACGTTTACTCATCTTAGACTTTACACTAAAATCCTACTCTGAGTGACTCTATACATTCATTGTCTTTATTTTATTAAAGCTAATGATTGAACAAGCCAAAACGATAATAACTCTACCAAACTGTACCAAATGTGTCAGTAGTGTCTGTTTCAGTAGTGTCTGTTTCAGTAGTGTCTGTTTCAGTGACAGTTTTAGCTCATTCTGAGTTCAGAATCTCAGCCAGTACAGACCAGCAAACACAGCTCTGAACAGCTGTTCACACAGAAAATCAGCATATTTTACATTAAAACACTAAAAAGTGCTGAACTGCAGAAAATATGATGATTCTTAATGTTCCACACTGATTTTCAGACTTTGGGACTCATTTACTTCAAAACAATGGGATCTAACTGCTCACCATGTGGCCAGGAGGGACAGGGATGCAGCCTCACTTCCTGCTCTGACATGCAGGGGCGGGGCTCAAATAAACTCTTGATAAATCTAAGTATTATTTTCAGAAGTGTAAGTTTAGGGGTTTGGTTCAGGACAGACTCCTCACAATGGAAAGAACCCTATAAATGATGACTGTGTATATATTTAGTTTATTACTGTAACTAATTAATGCCTTAAATAGATCAGAACAGAATCACTGTAAATATCTAAGATCTGAAAACGTCACTGTTTTATTAAACAGTGTTCTGACTGTGTCAGTGCTGATTCAGTCGAGTGGTCCATTCAGACTGAACCGTTCAGAAAAGAGAGGTTGTAGCGATACAGTGTTAAACGCTGCATCAGGACGTGTTTTAGTGAGCGAGACAACATAAAAATACACTCTGCTCTTTATAACGACTAATTTATCTGTTTGAACCCCAACAACCATTTATCACGGGCAACTGGGTCAGCGGTGCAGCTACTCAAGCAGGCAAAGCCCAGTCGCTCGTCCTGCAGAGCTGCTCTAACTCTCAGCAAAACACAAATAAACAGTCTCCAAAATCATCTTAAATCAGCCAGCACTACAGTTAATGCTGACAATTACTGATGCCAACCACTACCACTGACCACTAATGCTGACCGCTAACTCTCTCACAGCTCCTCAAACTCACAGCACAGTCACACAATGGTGTAGATACTGAACTTGCTAACGAACAATCGGACGCAGTTGCGCGTGCACTCAAACACAGCGACTGACAACCACACAGACCAAAAGCAACTGCTTTCTCAGTCAAATCTAATGTTTGGATTTAAGATTAAGAATAAGATTTATAAAATATTCAAATAAAACCCCAAACAAACAAACAAAATACAGCAATCCTGGCTACAGGCTGCTGCACACCACTGCATGGAGTTTCCTGTCGAGTGAACCATAGCCTACAGACAAGGTGTGGTAGCCTTTAGACCCCACGTGTCAAACACAAGGCCTGCGGGCCAAGTCAGGCCCATGAAAGTATTTTGATCTTCTATTCTTATTAGCCCGTCTCACCCTGAGATGCACTACAGTCCCCGGCATGCACTACAACATAGTGTGCATTCTGACCCCCAACGATAATCTGTGGGCCAGCAGTTACACACAAAGAAAAGATGCCTGGTGTCCAGTTCAAGCAAATAGGCAGAAATTACCTAAAACAATTAATTTTAATTTAGAATTATTTATGAATAAGTATTCAGTGGCTGTTTTGCTGTTGTAGTTTTGGCAGATTTTGAATAAACAATGTCCTGTTCGGGTTGTGGCAAAATAATAAGTAAAAATGTAATAAAATGCAGCTGGTCCACAGATTTGCTGAGATTTTTTAATATGGTCCTTTTAGTGGTTGCTTTAGACAGTGTGTGGTAGCCTTAAGATGGTGTGTGGTAGTCTTTAGATGGTGCTGAGTCTTTAGACGGTGTTTAGGAGTCTTTACACTGTGTGTGGTAATCTTTAGACAGTGTGTGGCAGTTGTTAGGCAGCTGCAAAAACTAAATTTCCTCGCCAATTTATTTATAAAAAATAATTGAGTGTATAATGTATATAAACACTGCTGAAGTACATACAGTTCACTGTTCACTCCTCAGTACAAACAGTCTGTATACAGAGACTGAAATACAAAAACACCCACTCTGAATGAAGCGTTCACGAAAACCTGCACCTTTACATATATTCATGTATTCAGCCTACAGCAGTTTAGCCCCGCCCATTCAGCCCACATAAATTTAGCCACGCCCATTCAGCCCACAGAAATTTAGCCCCGCCCATTCAGCCTACAGAAATTTAGCCCCGCCCGTTCAGCCTACAGCAGTTTAGTCCCACCCATTCAGCATACAGCAGTTTAGCCCCACCCATTCCCCCCACAGCAGTTTAGCTCCATCCATTCAGCCTACAGTAGTTCAACCCCACCCATTCAACTTAGAGCACTTTACACACACACACACAGAAAGAGACAGACAGAGACAGACAGAGAGAGTGAGAGAGAGTGAGAGAGAGAGGGGGCGGGGGTGGAGGGGCTCAGCTCGTTTCTGTTTGATTCTGAACAATGGAGGGATCTGATTCTGACAGGGATCCATGGTAACGGATTTGGTGTCCTGACCGCGGGATCTCGGGTTACAGCCGGTTCTGCTGCTGAGACTAAACACAAAAATATTCACAGCACAGAAAGATAAACAGCACCATCAGCTCACCATCACCATCAGTTCATCATCAGCTCCCTATCACCATCAGATCACCATCAACTCACCATCAGCTCACCACCTACACCATCAGCCCACCACCAGCATCAGCTCACCATCAGATCACCATCAGTTCACCATCACATCAGTTTACCATTAGCTCACCATCAGTTCCCTATCACCATCAGCTGACCATCAGCTCACCACCAGCATCAGCTCACCATCACATCACCATCAGCTCCCTATCACCATCAGCTCACCATCAGCTCACCGTCAGTTCACCATCAGCTCACCATCAGCTCCCTATCACCATCAGATCACCATTAGCTCACCATCAGCTCCCTATCACCATCAGTTGACCATCAGCTGACCATCAGCTCACCACCTACACCATCAGCTCACCACCAGCATCAGCTCACCATCACATCACCATCAGTTCACCATCACCATCAGTTCACCATCAGATCACCATCAGCTCCCTATCACCATCAGCTGACCATCAGCTCACCACCTATACCATCAGCTCACCACCAGCATCAGCTCACCATCACATCACCATCAGCTCACCGTCAGCTCCCTATCACCATCAGCTCACTATCAGATCACCACCTACACCATCAGCCCACCACCAGCATCAGCTCACCTACACCCTCAGCCCACCATCAGCATCAGTTCACCATCACCATCAGTTTACCATCAGCTCACCATCAGCTCCCTATCACCATTAGCTGACCATCAGATTCACCACCTACACCATCAGCTCACGACCAGCCTCAGCTCACCATCACATCACCATCAGCTCACCATCACCATCAGTTCACCATCAGCTCACCATCTACACCATCAGCCCACCACCAGCATCAGCTCACCATCACATTACCATCAGCATCAGTTCACCATCAGCTGCCTATCACCATCAGATGATCATCAGCTCACCACCTACACCATCAGCTGACCATCAGCTCACCATCAGCTCCCTATGACCATTAGCTCACCATCAGCTCACCACAAACTCACCACTGACACCATCAGCTCACCACTGACACCATCAGCTCATCATCACCGACAGCGTCAGCAGGCTAAACTGACCTCTCACTCTCACTGATCTCCACTCCAACCTTGAATGAACAGACTGACTGAACCTGAGAATAAACTCCGTCAGTCAGTCAGTCATCACCATCACACTCAGCACAGATTCACAGATCAATCTATTTAGTTATTTAAAAGGGATTTTTTTACCTTTATAAAAAACAAATATTCCGCTCTGTGTTGTTTACTCTACTGTTTTCCTCTGAGTGTAACTGTGAGTGAGTGAACTGTAATCCGGTTCTGTTTCTGACAACAAATATGTGGCACCACTGAACTCACATCACCCAAATTTAAACATTAATTAATTTATTTTAAATTAATTTTTAGTAACATTTTCCAAATTAAGTGACCAGATATTCACAAATCTGTAAATATCGTTTTCCAACTTTTATTTCATGATCTGTATAATGAATACAAATCATATTTAAAACATAAACATTTTAGAAAACATAATATTTTGCAATTTTATGTCATAACTGCAGCACACTGACATCATAGGGGCTTTTTACTTTTTGCTTGATTCTCTGAAATCTTACAACAAAAAGACTGAAGTAAAGAATAAACAGTTAAAAGTGATTCAAACTCCTTTATTTCTGAATAAAAAAAGGTAAATGATACAGAAACATGTGGAGAGACGTATTAAAAAAAACTTTAAAATAGAAAAATGAGTAATTTCTGTTTTGCTGTATCGTATAAAGAGCAACATCCGATCAATCAATTACATGAATATTGTTTATCTGCGTAATTTAATGTCTGATTTCTGAGAATGATCCATCACCATGGAAACAGGGCTCTGAATGTAAGCAAAATGTAAATCTAATAAGAACCGAAGCGTCCAAAATTAAATGTACGCTGGCATTTTAGTACAGATATTATTTAAATCTAAAGCAACAGAGGCGCCACTTAACTGTTAATATCATAAAGAGCGAATCAGCTCTAATATTCTAATATATAATTATTATTAATGCACTTGAACGCATGCTGTTCTGCAGCACAACAAAGATACGCAAACAAACTGCAGCGCTGAACCTGAATTAGATTAGAGCATCAGATAAACGCAGGAACAGATCAGTGTTTTAGCTTCATTTGATCAGAAAATAATAAAAATAAATAATCTGAATGTGCAGAGATTATTAATCTGACCTCAATCTGAAAGATAAACAAACTTAAGTGAAATTAGACGCTGCACGCCGAGATTACGACAGAATAATAATCTCATTAGCAAACAGAACCGTAAAGCAGCACCGAAGCGTAACGTCGGAAGACGAGTTTAGAGTTTTTACGCCACCGAGTGACGAGGAACCCGCGGCAGGTTCTCTATTCTACCACAAACACGCTCAGCGTTAGGGTTCCCTCTCGGGCTCCTCTACGATTGGACGAGGTTTGTCTTCATCCTCCGTCCAGAAGGTCCAGCAGACAGTCATTGGAGTCCCACCTCATGGAGACCTGGATCTCCGTCAGGATGTGGGGGTCTGCCCCCCCCGTCACCATCCACTCCTGCTGGGTCACCGCAGGTTCACGTACAGAGCCAGAGAGACCACCACAGCGGTCAGGATCAGAAACGGCAGCCAGGTCTTCAGAAAGCCAGCACAGCTACAGAGAACCGACACAGAGGAGAACATAAAACGTCAAACTAGAGAACAGATACAGAGAACAGAAGAGAGAATAACGTCTGAGAGCTGGAGAAAAACTTTACTAATTTAATTAAAAGCTTTCATTACAAACTAGAACAGAGCATTTCCTGATAAAATGAACGTGCAGCTGAACCTTCTTCCTAGCGGTTGCTAAGGTATAAGGGTTGGTTGCTAATGTGTTGCTAAGCGGTTGCTACGGTTGCTAATGTGTTGCTAGGTGATTGCTAAGGTATAACGGTTGGTTGCTAATGTGTTGCTAGGCGGTTGCAATGATTTGTTTGTAAGGGGTTGCGAAGTGGTTGACTGTTGTTGTGTAAAATGCATGGGAGTCTATGGGAGGAACGAGGGATGAAAAAAGGACACAGAGAGGAGTGCAGGTCAGTATGACTGTGGATTAGAGCTTGAGGATCTGCCCTGAGTGAAGACACGTACTTTGGTGGCTGTCATGTAAAGGAAATAATAGGGCTTGGATGAGGGTGGAAATGAATGGGACTCTATGGGAGAAACAAGGGATGAAAAAAAGACAAACAGATGAGTGCGGGTTAGAATAACAGTGAATTCGTACTTGGGGGCCTGCCCTGAGATCTGTATACAAAACAAAGTATTTCAGTTGAGCAGAAGTACAGCAGATGGATGTGCAATTTTACGTCAGATAAAAAAGCTGCACAGAAGCATTAAAGAAAATTATATTCTATATTATTATAGCGTAACAGTCCGAGTGAACAGTACAGCGTTTATCATTCTTTTGCTTTAATGACAGTGAGCAGTCGAGCCGACTCGACTCTGATCACCAACAGAGACAGAATCCTCTGATCAGCAGATCAAACACAACTGAGAGTCTGAACTCCAGCTTCACTGAAGAGATCAGACTGAAAACTGAGCTTTTGGAACAAACAGCTCAACACGATCAGCTCCACAGGTGTGTTAGAGGTGCAGTGTGTCAGATTTAGGAGGATCTATTATTCAATAGAATATAGTAACAAAACCATGAGTTTATTAATGTATAATCAGCTGTAATTATGAATCTTTGTGTTCTTGTTATCTTATAATGAGCCCTTCATATCTACATAGTGAGCGGCTCCTCTTCAACAGAGGCCGCCATGTTTCTACAGTAGCTCAGAGTGGACAAGCCAAACACTGACTCTACTGCACACTTGGAAAGGGAGGGGTGAGGGAGGGGGATTCAGCTGGTTGCTGATCTGCAACTCAGCCACAAAATGACACTAAATCTTACTGCACCTTTAAATTTAAATAGTTTATTAATTGAATTACTTTTTCAAAATTCTAAAACTTTGTTGTTTACTTCCAGATTGAAATGAAGTATCTCAGATTTTCGATGTGCTCTCAGACTTTAGAACCTCACTGTGTACAGAAGAAAAGAGAGCACAAAATCTCAGATCAGACATACAAGTTTCAGTACTTAATTCATTCTGTATTTATTTCGTTATTCTGTCAGCTGCTTGTAAGATGTAAATGTATAATTGATTCATTGGAATTCACCATCACACTCCACCTCCAGCGTCCTACTGCTTTTTACAGTTAAACAGCCCGAAGGCAGCTTAATGTGGTTTAGTTCAGTCGGTCTGTAAAGTGTTTCACTGCATGTCTTTTTTGCTGAATTGTGTTGTGTTAGTTTCTGGCTGATTCAAGTTTAGTTGTTTTGAAAAGCTCACTTACAGGCCACTGCACACCTGACACGCCACGTCCCAAAATTCCAAACCATTGTTTTAATGGAGGTGCACACCAGTTCCAACTACGAGCATTGTTCAATTACTCAGCTCGCCAATCAGCATCTTACCACAAATACATTAAATTGAACCACCAAGAGACACAGAGACACAGAGAGGCACACTGAGACACAGAGAGACACACTGAGACACAGACAGGCACACTGAGACACAGAGAGACACACTGAGACACAGAGAGACACAGGAGATCACATGTAGCAGCCAGTCTTATGGAAGAACAGATCAGTGCTAATAGTCTGTTACCTTTCATGTTCCTAATCCAGTCTTTCTTTCAGCTCCAGAACGTTGAGACTGAAGCAGCCGTCAGTGCAGGAGAGTAAAAATGAACATGAACTTAACGTTTATCGGTTCTCCCTGTTAGCGTTCTACAGCAGCGCTCTGCTACGTGACGCTTTGTGATGCTGCGCTGGGCTGTGCAGTGTCCGCTGTGCATTTAGGGCCAACAGCGGGTTCTGAACGTGATGAAGTCCTGCGATCAGACACTTAGCAACCAGAGCTCAAAGAACTATAAGAATTATAAAAAAAATATGAAATATGAAATATACTGTTTTCTCAGCTAAACACTCCACACACGACTCACTTCCTCTCTTTGATTCTGAAATGTTCTTGTGTTCTTGTTGTGGTTCTAGGTTTACAGTGCAGTTACAGTGTTATCATCAGAGTGGAGATATTCTGTACGTTGTTGTTTTAGACCAGCTTTACTGGTTTATCTGACATGAACGTTTAGTGAAACTGCAGTGAACATCACAGAGTTATTATCAGCAAACCTGCTATCCGACTCGACACACAGTAACAGGAAGTCTGTAAGAGAAGATCTTCTGTTCCTGCAGATCCTCAACGGACTGAGAGGAAATCAGCTGGATGTGAGACGGTGGAGAAGCAGTGACGGTGGTGTAAATCTTGCTTTAGCAGAGGATCAGAACTGGATCAGCTCAAATTCAGCCAGTTGAAAGTGTTCTGATAATGTAACAATTGCGCTACCACCATTTTGGTCGGCAACTTCAAGTTCACTCAGCACACGACTTTAAACACTCTTTAAATATCATTTTAAAGCATATTAACTGATATGATGAGTTTATTGCCTTGATTTTATTTGATTGGTTACTGTATTGATAACAAATGAAAGCTGAAATCTAAACAGCTGAGATTTCCCGCTGTGTTACTAGCACCTCGTCCCAAACCGCATATTAGCTCACTAAATAGTGTGTAAAAATAGTGCATATCCCATTAGAAGTGCACTCATTAGTGCAGTGGGTGAAGTACAGAAGTGTGTGGTTTGGGACGCGGCGTTAGATCAGCCAGTGAGACGCGATCAACAGCTGCTCTGCTGTGCTGCTTGTTAGCTGCTCATTAAACACCTCCAAGAGGAAATTTGAGGGGTTTGATAATTAAGGAGCTTTTATTGACATAATTTAATGTATTTATTTAGGTAAATAAATACATTTATTGAGATAAATTAATTCATCCTCCTGCAGGGCTGTATTTGCAGTAACGGTGATGAGATGAGCTCCATCAGAGCACAGAGTTACAGCTCATCCACCAACATGGAGACAAGGAGTTCTTAATGAGGTGATACTGTACTATAAACAGTAATCTATTAAAATATTCCCAGACTGACTCCAATCCTGATCTTTTGTTCATTCCCTATCGTCCCTTTCTGGCAGCCACTAGTTAGCGCTTAGCTAGCACGTTGTAGCAAAGCGGTGCTATTAGTAGGAGCCAATCCTCTCCTTTTTCCTCAGTAGGATCATACAATCTACACAGTCGAGTCACATTAATATGACCACCAGCTAATATCCAGAATAACCGCCGTGTGCAGCATGGACAGCAGCCAGACAGGCTGGGAGTGACTCAGTAAGGTCCTGGTAGGTTGTCACAGGTATCTGGAGCCATGCTAACTGCAGTGCATCCCACAGCTGCTGGAGGGGGTGTGGGGGAGAATCCATAGAGTAAACACGATGATTGAGGCGGTCCCACAGATGCTCAATTGGGTTCAAGCGTTGTACTTGGAAGTCCTGGTCATGTGTTTCCAATGAATGTCAGACATTTCTAGCCGTGTGATGTGTCGCACTGTCTTGCTGGAAGAGCCCATCTGCCCCAGGGAAGACAATCAGCATGTATGGGTGTACATGATCAGCAAGGATGGATTCATTCCCAAATCAGTTAAGAGTGCCTTCCACTTGGATGAGTGAGCCCAGAGAATGCCACGAAAACACTCCCCAGACCACTGGTCACAGTAATGTGACTTGACTGTGTATCATTCCTAAATTATTATCATGATTCACATTCCTGTTATAAAAGTGTTCAATATGTAAATGAGCTGAATATTAGCACTATAATTGAATACGGTCTCTCACTGAATCAGTTTTAACTAGAAGCTTGAACTGCTGCTTTAATTCCGTCTATAATCCTCGTCTATTACTGTCGCTCAGCCGCGTCTCCTGAAGCTCATCTCATACTGAGATGTGATGATGTTCACTTTAATAATTATACGCAGCGACTCAGTAAAGATGGAGAATCTTCTTTATCTCCATTTCTGCTCTCAATTTCAGCCCATCATGCTAATCTGTCGACATGTGGAACCAGACTGTGCAGAGGAGAGAACATCACTCAGAAACGGACACACAAAACTTCCTGATATTCAAAGTTCCTCTGATGATTTCTTCACTGAATTTCCTTTTTCAACATTCAGCTGAAGAAGTGATCAAACTCGAGTCTGATAATCTCACTGTCCAGAAGAAGAAGTGGAATAAATAATCTGTCTGAGAATAAACGTTCTTTATGGATAAAACTACGGATGCATGATGATATGGGAATAATTCAGGTTTCAGCAGATATTTGCTTTTAAAAGAAGACAGATTTGAGTGATATAAACTGATATTTGATGTATTTATTGTAGGAGAATGTTAATGTTACTGCACTAAAATATCTGTATTTTATTTATTTTACTGCTTATACAGTCCTGCTCACCATTATTGGCACCCCTTCCTTTTTTGCATAACCTGTACAATATCTTCAGAAATAAATGTAAATGTACCAAAGTTATATCTTCAGGATTTTTTCATTGGAGGTCCAAAGTAATACAACAAAAAAAACATTGTTTTTCAACTTGCATGTTGCAATTTTAAAGAAGAAACAGAATAAACAGCATGTGCAGCAATAAAGGCACCCCTTGTTAATATTTGGTTGCACACCCTTTGGCTGTGATGACAGCCTCCAAACGTTTCTTGTAGCCATCTATAAGCTTCTTGCACTTCTCAGCTGGTATTTTTTCCCACTCTTCCTTTGCAGTTTGTTCAAGCTCTTGAATGTTTGCAGGATTCTTTTTCCCAATGGCAGATTTCAACTCACCCCAAAGATTTTCAATGGGAATGAGGTCAGGACTCATTGCTGGCCATTTTAAAACAGTCCATTTTTTCCTTTTAAACCATTCCCATGTACTTTTGGATGTGTGCTTTGGGTCATTGTCTTGCTGGAATACCCATGATCTTCGGCTCAAACCAAGTTTTCTTACACTGGGTAGGACATTTCGCTCTAAAATCTCTTGATAATTCTCTGATTTCATAATTCCTGTGATACGGTCAAGGCCTCCAGTACCAGACGCAGCAAAGCAACCCCACAGCATTATGGATCCTCCACCATGCTTAACTGTTGGTAGGGTGTTCTTTTCCTTATAAGCTTCATTGCGCCGTCTGTAAACAAACTGTTGCTTTGCATTGCCAAAAAGCTCTATTTTTGTTTCATCTGTCCACAAAACATTGTCCCAGAATGATTGTGGTTTGTCAAGGTACTCTTTGGCAAAGATCAGTCGTTCCTTTTTATGTCTTTTCTTTAGCAATGGTTTCTTCCTTGGCCTTCGCCCATAAAGCTCTGCATGGTTTAGTGTGCGGCGTATGGTACTTGTTGAAACCATGACCCCAGACTGTTCCAGGTTGGCCTTCAGTTCTTTGGATGTTTGCCTTGGTGTTTTTTCCACCATTCGCACCAACCTTCGAAGACTTCTCTTGTCAATTTTCCTCTTTCCCTCACGTCCAGGGAGGTTCTTGACAGTTCCATGCTTGGCAAACTTCTTAATAACATTGCGCACTGTTGAAACTGGGATACCAAGGTCTTTGGAGATGGCCTTATACCCTTTGGAAGTCTTCTGTTTGCTAATAATAGCACTTCTGATGTCCTCAGACAGCTCCTTTGTCTTCACCATTGCAACAAATGAACATGGCCCAACGTATGGCTTTTTAAAACCCTGAAGTCATCATTCATTGGCTAATTCATGTCACATGGGCACTGAATTTGTCACAGGTGATTATCATTTGCGATTTACCACAGGTGAGTGAAAATGTGTTTCCATACTAATTTAATGTAAAGGGTGCCAATACCAGTGTCACAGCAAGCTTTAGGTTTTTTCTGTTTTTCCCTCACATTGTTTTTTGTTTTAAATTGTTGTTTATAGTTTGCTCTTTTGTTTTAAATATGAGTGCTCTATACAAAAAAACTGTTTCAGTTGATTAATTTTTTCAGGGGATATTCCACAATATGTACTTAAACTTCATGGGTGCCAATAATGATGAGCAGGACTGTATAACTTCACAAACAGATTTATTTCTATGTCTTTCTATTTCTATTTAATGATGGTGCAGGTAGATTCAGTGCAGTGAGTAGTGCATCACACCCAAACGCACCAAATACAATTTAGACTTTGAGTCTATTTTTGCTGCTTGCTGTAAATGCTTCACTTCTAAAGGCATGTAGAAAACAGACCTGCTGCATTTTTCACTCGTAACTGGTGTGAAAACAAAACGTCAAACTTCTTGTTAGAAGCAAACTTGTTATAAGCTAATTAGTGCTGTTGATATTTTATGTCAGTGTGCGATTAGCTAACGAGACATTACCGGGATAAAAGTACTTCAGTATTGAAGAATTAATGAACAATGTTGTGATGATACAAACATCAAACAAACTTTACTGCAACTAACCAAGTCTACGGAAACTGGATTAGTAACTACAGCTACCTGGTTGATTATCAGCCCACTCTGAGATCCAGCACTGAGCCACACAGGCCTTTAGGGGGCGCTGCTAGAATGTACTACCTTAATCTCTGAATCAGCTTCCTGGAAGACCCCACCTACATACAGGTGTTCCAGCATTCCACACTCTGAAAAAAGATGGTGCTTCAAGGGTTCTTTAGTAAAAAAAAAAATGGTTCTAAATAGAACCATGAACACTCAACCCACTGCATTATTAAAGGTTCTTTGCATGGTGAAATCGTTCTTCAGATTGATGGAGAATGTACTGTAGATGGTTCTATATAGAAGCTTTTTGAAAAAAAGTTCTATATAGCACACATGCTACGGTGACATTGTCCATCAGTCTGAAGAACCATTTCACCATGCAAAGAACCTTTAATAATGCAGTGGGTTGAGTGTTCATGGTTCTATTTAGAACCATTTTTTTTTTTACTAAAGAACCCTTGAAGCACCATCATGCAGAGGGTTCTCTGAGTGTTTATGGTTCTATGTAAAACTATTTTCTTTACTACAGAACCCTTAAAGAACTGTCTCTTTTAAGAGTGTACAGCCTTATCAAACAGAACCGAACAAGCAGAGCACACTGACCTCAGAGCAGCGTATTCGTGTAAAGTACGTTAGCTCAGCGCAAAGAGTCGTAACTTAGCAACCGGACTGCTCTCTGTTCTGGAGAACCGAAAGTTCCTCTGCTCAGACTTTTGGTTCTCCAGAGCGGAGAGCATTTTGGAGATGCAGTTCTATATGGGAGAGGACAAACTTATCCTTCTGATGTTTGCTGGGACCCAAAGGTCCAGTTAGCTTGGATCCTCCTATGCTAACCACAGAGGCAACAGTGATGGTGGAGTGAAGTTCACACAAATCAGACAGTGGATGAATAAACCAATCGCTTTCTTGCTGTCAGGAAAATCTTGTTTGGTGATGAGTGGTGATGTAATCCTGCAGGTAATCACCATTTTTATAATGTTCCTGTAAACAGAGAACCCTGAGGGCAGGGGTGCCCAATCCTGATCCTGGAGATCTTCCACCCTGCAGAGTTTATCTTTACTCCTAATCTAACACACCTGATCCAGGAAACGAAGTTCAGGAACTTCTGAATATTAGAGCCAGGTGTGCTGGATCTGAACTCTGCCTGACACAGCTGCCTACAAACCATAGAAATGGACCTTAAACAGAAGTGAGGACCCTGTTGGGGTTCATCCTAAAGTTAGGACAGGATTTAGGAGGTTTAGTCTAGTTAGGATGTTTGTGTGATGCTGTTTTCTTATCTGGAGTTCATGATGAGGTTATGAAGTTAGGAACTGTTATTCTGGAACAGCTACTGTCCGAAATTCAGTCCGTACTGAGGTCGTCATGGAGACTAAACACATCAGATTTCAAAGTTATGGAGTTTCTGTAATATGACTTCAGGTTACATGTTGTAGTCACAGCCCAAATCTGCTGCTGATCCTGAAGAACACTAAACTCAGGAAGGTTCCAAGTGAAGCTGTTGAGACTCTGACCTGACGTGTTTTCCGTGGATGAGCGCGAGCAGACAGAGGTTCACCATGTTCCACGAGGTGCTGTTGTCATAGCGCATCAGGTTCAGCGCCATGGCAACATGAGAGTGACAGTTGTCACAGCAGAGGTTGTGCTGAGGAGAGAATGCAGTGAGCCGTAAGACGAAGAGCAGACGAACTTTCACAATAAGAGCTCACGGTCAGAAAATAAGCTAAACGGACTGTTTACCATTCTGTGTTTATACTCCTCTGAGGCGTCGTGAACTGCCGTGTCCCAGGCGTTGGAGCCACTGGTGTACACTTTACTCACATCCAGCATCCAGTACCTGTTCAAACACACCTTTACATCAACACCACCTCACACACACACACTGACCTGCACAGACCTTCTGCTGAATCAGCTCACACTGACATAAAACTGTTAAAAACAACTAAGTATTTTAGAGCTCAGATATCAACAGTGATTCAGTTCTGATCTATTTATCCCAAGACATTAATAGAGACAGTAACAAACCACATACATACAATCATTTATAGAGTTCTTTCTATTGGGAGTGTCTGTCCCAAACCCTAACCCTAAACCCTAACCCTAAACCATAACCCCTAAACTTACACTTCTGAAAAAAAACATTTTTATTTTGTTATTTTTTAAAAGTGAAGCTGAAAGATTAAGATTTGTCATGAGTTTAATTTCTAAATAAAAACACTTTCAAAAAACGCTCATCACTACTGAAACACAGTTTCAGTCTGTAGGCGGAGTCTTATTTTAGCCATGCCCCTGCATTTCAGAGCAGGAAGTGAGGCTGCATCCCTGTCCCTCATGGTGAGCAGTTAGATCCCATTGTTTTGAAGTAAATGAGTCCCAAAGTCTGAAAATCAGTGTGGAACATTAAGAATCATCATATTTTCTGCAGTTCAGCACTTTTTAGTGTTTTAATGTAAAATATGATGATTTTCTGTGTGAACAGCTGTTCAAAGCTGTGTTTGCTGGTCTGTACTGGCTGAGTTTCTGAGCTCAGAATGAGCTAAAACTGTCACTGAAACAGTCACTACTGAAACAGTCACTACTGAAACAGACACTACTGAAACAGGCACTACTGGAACAGACACTACTGAAACAGTCACTACTGAAACAGACACTACAGAAACAGGCACTACTGACACATTTGGTCCAGTCAGGTAGAGTTATGATTGTTTTGGTAGAGACTAAATGGAATGTTCAATCATTAGTTTTAATAAAATAATCATTATTAAGGTTTAGAGTCACTCAGCGCAAAAGGATTTTAGTCTAAAGTCCATGATCAGTTAAAGTCTGTACTGTGTGTTTAACTCTGAGGCTGATCCCGTTCAGTACAGTGATCTGTGAGCTGTACAGCTGCTGTAGTTACACTATTAGAAATACGCTGTAGCTGTGAAACCCTGCAGTGAACATTCAGAACAGACCTGAATCTCCCTCTTATGCTGAGCCACTGAATGGAAAAGCTGCTTTATAATTCTGCTGAATAACCTTCAGTTACACAATCTGAGGACTGTTCGTCCTTGTAGGCTTTCAGAAAAGACTATAAAACTCTGTGGGAAAGCGTCCCGTATGAACTCAATTAACTTACTTTGTTGGTCTTCCAAAAGCCATGTTGTCCTCCTGCAACAGAACACAGAGCCACAGATGGTTATGAATTCACTATTTTATGATAGTTTTGAGAACTTAAACTCCATTCATGGTGGAGGGATACATGCAGGGCACTGTGAGGCAAAATAGTCCCCAAAGAAAACTTATTATTTCAGATTTTCCACTATTTTCCATCATCAACATTCCATATGAACTCAGAAGACTCGTGTAGGTTCACTGGTGGTTCTGGATAGTAAATAAAATGTCTATATTTGTGTTGTAGTCATGGCGACCCCTGGTTCCCATCACCACCACTGTAAAGACACCTGAACCATTTCACACCAAACCACTCTGAACCTCTCTGTTTATAACTCACACACTGAGTTTTTACAAAATGATGAAATTTTTCTTTATCACTCATAAATTGCTGAGCTATCATATCTTTACTTCCAAAGCAGCTCTGCCCTTGATGTTGTTTATCCAGAGACTTCAACAGTCTGATGTCAGTCTATCTGAAATGCGGTCTGCAGAGGTGAGTTTAGTGCACTTAAGCGCTCAGTGGCCCGAGTCACATCAGGTCAACTATCCTCTCCTCTCACATTACAGCAGAGGATTCAGTTCAGGCCGTCAGCGCTGATCTCCATTCAGCGCACTGAGGCTCTCAGAGCTGCAGGAACCCCCTCCAGACAGGATCTCGCTGTGTGAGCAGCTTTAATGTGATTCTGTGGACGTTACGATTCTCTGTATCTGCATTTCATACAGAAACTGCCTCTTATAAGAGTTCACTCCTCCAGCGGTCACTGCAGATATCCAGCAGGTCTTCAGGCCTTAAGAGCTCATCAGATACCCGATATCATCCAGGACCAGTAGCAGAGAGGAGACGGAGAGCGCTGAGCTGCTCCTGTTAGAGATCTGCTCTCTGAACCTGTTATAGATTTCCTTTTTCAGTCTAGCAGCTTCTCGCAGTGCAGAGCTGAACTTTATGTGGATCCTGAGGGAGCAGAGCTGCAGTAGAGCAGGAGCAATGAGCAGCGTAACGAGGCCACCAGGCAGGGAGATCAATAAAGAGGAACACTCTCCACTCGATTACGCTGCACACTGAGAGTCTGTGATCAGTTTCTGATCAGTTATATGAGTCTGATCACCCTGCACTCACTGATCAGCGAATCTCTCTGTGGTTGATTACTCTGATTAAACTTCCTGAAGTCTATTAGAAATAAGGCCAGTTCTGTTTTCTACACATTATTATCTGACATTTCTTTATTAATACAATATCAGATCTACTGAAGCGACTCACCGATACGAAGTACGGTCCAGCAAAGTCTCGAATCACCCCTGTAGATGTGCAGATCCCCATGTGTCCGATGAACGGAAACAGCCATCTGAAACGTCCATCAGAAAAGAGCGTTAAACTCAGAGTAGAGGTTAAATTCTTCACGCTGTGATTATGTCTCTGTGTTTAGTCGTTACTGTGGGACACAGTGAGCACAGACAACTCGATAAATACTGCTTACTTTAACACTGTAGCACCAAAACCCACCACAGCCTACAGAGCGGTCACTAACTCTCCTGAAGATCGACCGTCCTGCAGGTTCCACCACCAACTCAAATCTGAGAGTCACATCTTACATCAGTCAGATCCCTCAGACCATTAACATGTTCAATACAATTTCTACAGCGCTGTACAAACATTACACACCCTTTAATTATTTAAATGCATTTAAATTTACAGCTAAATCTACTTTCAGTGTTCAGTGAGTCTCTCTCTCCCTTTATTCCAGCTTCCGTTCTTTTCAGGAGACTCACTTTCAGCTCCTCAAAGAATCTGCAGACACACCTCCAAAGTTCAGTCTTAGAAGCTGGTTGATCATTTTCTGCTTTTATGCTCCAAAAACGAATTCAGGCTCATCAGTTCAGAAAATGTTACTGCTCAGACGTCCAGTTTCAGAGCAGATGTTCTTCTGCTGGCTGTGTTCACATTATTAGGCTGAATCTGATTTTCTGCCTTAATGTTTTTTTAGAGCAGTGTGAACACAATTCTGATCTTTTCAATTGAAATTTGATCCAATTTCATATATGTTCCTGAGTCAGATAATAATATAATAATTTGAAAGGACCAAATCATGGGAAACTGAAATTTTAATTCAGATTGACATCCGATTTGTGGCCTCAATGAGAACGCTGTGCAGACGGCATCATTCAGTGTTAACTGACCTGACAGCACTTAATAACAACAACAACAACAATAATAATAATAATAATAATAATAATAATAAACTGGTAGTAACTGGTGAGAAGCCATGTTTACAGCAGGTTAATGAATGTGTTGATGTGCTTTTTTAATGCGGGAATATAAAATCGGATCTGGTGAAAAGTGTAAACAGAATCCAGATACGATCCAACTCTAAAGACAGGTTAAAGCAGAATGTAAACAAACTCTAATATACCATCATTCAGCTAATCGAGCAGTCCTGAGGGGACGATCAGATCAGGAGTGTCCAGTCTCGCCTGCTGAGGGTCAGTGCGGCTCCAGGTTTTCATTCCGAAGCAGAAGAACCTGATCAGCTGTTCGGAACCGAGACTGAGCAAGCGAGTGGAATCAGATGAGCTCTGTGTCTCAAAACCTGCAGCCACATCTGCTCTCTGTGGATGAGACTGGACACTCTGACGGGTCATGGGGGGTCAGTCAGGGTCAGAACTGAAGTCTGCAGGAGGCATATCTCCGGGAGCACAGCTGGTCTGAAAGCTCAGAACTCTTCACAGCTAACGTCATCAGAGAGCTGCAGTCCAGCCGAGCGTCCTTCACACCATCATCACACGACTGGAATTCGTCCAGAACTGCGCATTCAGATCCACGTTCATTCAGAAATCACGTCCGGCGGCGAACAGCGCAGTCGGAGAGCGATGGAGACGCTGAAGGTGCGTGAACATGAGGTTCAGATGCATTTTATATGTGGTTGTAATAATTATCAGGTTTAATATTCAGGAGCCGGACTCATAAAAGTGTCTTAAGACAGAAAATCTCCTTAAATGTCTTATTTAACTTCATTCTTAAGAAGAAAGTTATGAAAAATTATTATTCTTGAAAAAAATGAATTCTCTTATTTTTTCATTAACTCTTTTCTTAAGAGTGATTCTAAGAACAAGTGTTATTCTTGAAAACATTCTGTTCTTAAATGTTTCTGAACCTTCTGACAGTCTCTCTCTGTCTCAGGCTGATTTAATGAGGATATTGTCCTGTTGGCTGTTTTTTCCTCCATTAGCTTCAGATCTTATTTGCAAATTTTTTTTAAACACTTGGTTTGACATTTCTCCTCCATTTTGCTCCTCTGAGTGGATTAAACTAAATAACGGAAATAACAGTTAATACACATTTAAAATGTATCTTGTGTTTACGGTATGATGTAAACTGCAGCAGAGCCGACATTAGAGAACAATGGAGATTTATATTAGTAAATATTAAGGAAATTATATAGAATATATTTAGAGAATATCTGAAATCTTAAAGTTTTTTTGAGAACCGCATTTAATACATTCATATGAACTTCTTAGAGTTTGTCTTAAGAACCTTCGCAAGTTTTTTTTTGAGAACATTTTGGTGAATCCGGCCCTGATTCTGCAGTTCAGTCTGTGTTACTGTGATATAATTAACTCTTTAAGGTCGACACAAAAAATAAGCTGTTGTTTAGTTTCTTTTGACACGTAAAGAATCTAAGAAAGCTGAAAACGTTCAGGTTATTATTTAGTCACAAAATATATACATCAGTTGTGCTCTGTTGTTACTCTGTTTAAAGCTGCACTATGTAAGATTTGTGTTGTTAAAACTGAAATAAGTGTCGTTACTGAGTGAGGAGAATATAAACAGGCTAAAATATGCTGAGTGTGTTCTGCTGTGAGTCGCCTGTAAAGCCTGAAATAATCATTTAAAAGTCAGAGGCGTCGAGTTTTTCACACCACGTCGTACGTCTTTACGTATTAACGTCACACACAGACTCTAAAAGAAGGTCCGGCTCGATGTTTCGGCCTCAAATGATCTCAGAATCAACATCATACTGATGAATATCTGATGACAATAGTAGATCATTCACTCACATCCTCAGAAGACGCTCCTTCACCAAGTTTAGACTAAGTTCTCTCTGATTCTCCTTCAGTCATCAGATTCATGCACTCAGGTAAGAAGCACAACCCACACTACAGAACGTTCCTCCACACACAAACAGCTGAACACTGAGCTCTCGGTATCTGAGTGGAACAACAGAGGAACGTGTTTTATACAGACACAGAAACTCTGCAGCTCTCAGAGATCTGATTACACTCGCTGGACGTTCAGAGGACAATATGATGATATTTTATCTTTATCGTGAAAAAATGTATTATTGTGATACACATTATGGTTTTGGGAGCAACTGTGGATTCATCAATAATTAAAGATCACTGACCAACCACATGATTCATTAAACACAACAGAATTACTCCTGTTCAACTCTTAAAAAAGAGGGTTCTTCAAAGGTTCTTTAGTTAAGAAAGTGATTCTATAAAGAATCATGAAGAGTCAAAGAACGCTTGCATGATTAAATGGTTCTCTGCATGGTGATATGGTTCTTCAAATTGATAGGGAATGTGTTGTATATGGTTCTATATAGCACTTTTTTGAAAATGGTTCTATGTAGCGCCAAAAAGGGTTCTACTATTGTTAAAAGCCAAAGATCCCTTTTTGGTACTATGTAGAACCCTTTTTTCTAAGAGTAGAGAATCTGAAAAGCTGAATAAGAGTTTTAATGGTGCTGTTTGAATGTGGCTCTAACACTGCGCTGCATCTGTTTGTCTGAGTATCGTGATACATTTTGTTTATCATAAAAATATATTGTAATATGATCATTTTTGCCATATCGCCCACCCCTTGTTTCACTCTGTCATCATGTGACTGTCAGTTTAAATCCCAGCAATGATGCACGTAGCGATATGTCGGTCGTCCTCCAAAACACTGAGAGGAGCCTGAGCCACCTGGAGTTCCTGGATTCTGCCCTAAATAACGTCACTGAGGAACCAGCTGAAGCTTCTTCACCCTAAACTGGAGCAGGGCAGCCGCTCCACACCGTCCTGTTCCGGATATATTAATCTCCACTCGCTTTCTGGACGCTGCTGCTGACCCACATACAGGAGAGCAGCACTGAGAGACGGAGCTTAACAGAAAAACGTTCACACGCAGATATTAACATCTTTACTGATGTGGAGAAACTCAACCTGCCAACCTGCATCCCAGACAAACTCACATCAATAATGCAGGCAGTCAGTCCTGATCACACCGCGCGGCTTGAGAGAGCGGCGGGAACGCAGGGAAAACATGCTACAGTGACACTGCACTGCTGCAGGAACCTCATATCAAACAGAGAGAACGTCAGAACTCTGAACATCAACAATGACAACATTAAACACTGAGAGAACAGAAACTCAGTGGAGGCCAGCGAAGATGAGAGAAGATGAGAGGAGATCAGAGGAGATGAGAGATCCAGCCTGCTGCAGAGTTCATACGGTCTTCACTCAGAGGAGCTCAGAATTACATCATTTCTGACCTCAGCACAAAGTGGGAAAATACGGACGCCTCTGTGAAGGGAAGTATTGTGAGCATCACGCGAGTGGACAGTGACAGTGTTACAGCTTAAACAGCCGCTGCGTCTGTGTGGACGGAGCTGAAGATCATCTCAGTTAAAAAGAGACGCGCTTCTTCATCACTGCTGACGCTGCTGATCTGACGTCTTACTCTGAGCTCAGAGTCCAGAGTTCAGAACATCATCCCTACTTTCCGAACAGGATTCCAGCTGAGATTATTGATCATGTTACGTCTCATACGTGTATGTATGTATGTATGTCTGTGGGTCATTCTCAGCACTGCAGTAACAATGACGTGGTGGTGGAGTGTTAGTGTGCGTTGTGCTGGTCTGAGTCGATCAGACACAGCAGTGCTGCTGGAGTTTTTAACTGTGTCCACTCACTGTCCACTCTATTAGACACTCCTACCTTGTCAGTCCACCTTGTAGATGTAAAGTCAGAGACGTTAGCTCATCTGCTGCTGCACAGTTTGTGTCGGTCATCCTCTAGTCCTTCATCAGTGGTCACAGGACGCTGCCCACAGGACGCTGTTGGCTGGATATTTTTGGTTGGTGGACTATTCTCAGTCCAGCAGTGACACTGAGGTGTTTAAAAACTCCAGCAGCACTGCTGTGTCTGATCCACTCAGACCAGCACAACACACACTAACACACCACCGTCAGTGTTACTGCAGTACTGAGAATGATCCACCACCCAAATAGTACCTGGGGGTCCTGACCACTGAAGAACAGGGTAAAGGGGGGCAAACAAAGTATGCAGAGAAACAGATGGACTACAGTCTGTAACTGTAGAACTACAAAGTGCACCTATATAGTAAGTGGAGCTGATAAAATGGACAATGAGTGTAGAAACAAGGAGGTTGTTATGCCTGATCGGTGTATATATGTATGTGTATGTATGTATGTATATGTATGCATTGTCACTGCTGGAACAAACCTCGTTCCTCCAAACTTCCATAACTTTACAGGAGAAAGAATGTAACCAGATTTTTTAACACAATCTAAATGGCAGCAGGGCTTTTTAAATTATGCAAAAAAATGAAAAGGTGACAGTGGAAAAATATAAACAGAGTAAAACAGTTTTGAGAAGATTTTAGTCCAAATCATATTTTTAAACTCCATTCATGGTGGAGGGATACATGCAGGGCGCTGTGAGGCAAAATAGTCCCCAAAGAAAACTTATTATTTCAGATTTTCCACTATTTTCCATCATCAACATTCCATATAAACTCAGAAGACTCGTGTAGGTTCACTGGTGGTTCTGGATAGTAAATAAAATGTCTATATTTGTGTTGTAGTCATGGCGACCCCTGGTTCCCATCACCACCACTGTAAAGACATCTGAGTGTGTAAGTTTCTCTAAAACAGAGCGTTTCACACCAAACTGCTCTGTTTGGCTTTGTTTACATCTCAGTCACTGGATTATGGGGGAATTTTGAAAATCGGGTGGAGTTCCTCTTTAAGTGGACTGAGAAGGTTTAATGTCCTGAGAAGTGTCGATGTTCTGAGTATAAAAAGGTTCTACGTGTTCCTCTCTGACGGAGAACCAGGTCGGTTCTCTAAACCAGATCAGTTCGTTACCTTCGCGCGAGAGTCACGAGCTCTGCGGGGGTGAAATGAGTGAAATCGAACCGAATAAACTCACGATAAAACGGGGATCGGAGTCCAGACGATGCAGTAGGGGTACCGGCTCGAGTTCGGGTCGATCTTCTCCGCAGCGATCTGGTAGTTCTTCATGGATTCTGTCTCCACATCCGCCATCACATCTCCTTCATCTGCTCCGCGGCGCTCCGTCGGCTTCCTCTCCGCCACACTCGCCGCACAACTCCGCGCTCCACCTTAAACCGCGCGGCGCTCACATTCTGACGCCTCCGGCTCTGTAATGTAGTGGCCGCGCTGTTTAAGGTGGAACGGAGAGTTAGAATGAGAAACTAACTTCAGTCTCGTCGTTCCGCTTCCGTTCAGCCTCGCGCTTCCGGGGCCGAGCAGAGAGTAACATAATAAGATGAATTATTAAAAATGTACTTGAATGAAAAATAAAATTATGAATGAAAATGTCTATAAATAGTCAGTGACTGTATAATAATCAGTCTGCGGGTCTGAGAGCTTCACTACATACAGAGTCAGAGGCTAAAATAGTTCACTGTTTTGTTTTTGTGACTGCACTGATAACATTTTTTATGGGATTAGGATATTATATTATTTTGTATTATATTATATTATATTATATTATATTATTTTGTATTATATTATATTATATTATATTATATTATTTTGTATTATATATTTGTATTTTATATTATATTATATTATACCTTCACAGTTATATTTAAATGCTATTATATTGAGACAGTTATATCATAAAGTGTTGTGGTCTGGGTGATATTGACAGATTTAATTATCATCATTTTATTTGTTTATTGAAGTCTGGGTTCATTATTATTAGAGCTGGGCGATATGTCAGAAATATTGTAATATTTCAGGAAATTTTTACGATACACAATGTATCACAATATTTATTTTTTTAAACATCTGATCAGAGAAAAAAGAGCCAGTAGAGCTACTTAAAAAAAAAAATACTATCAAAAACTGAACACGGTGATCTTTATTCAGTATTTGTCACTAAATCCAGTTAAACTGGACTAATTTTACTCTCTTTATAATGGAACATGTAGTTGGTCAGTGACTACAAGCACTGACGATAAACACCATATGATCAGAAAAGCATACTGTATTGTATTGTGCCATAATTAATCAAGATAACGATATATATTGTCATATTGTCCATATCTAATTGCTATTAATACTATTATTACTATTAGGAATGGAAACTGAGTCAGCCTGGGTTCCACCCTTCGTGTGATCAGATGCTGTCTAACCTAAATATTCTGGCTCATTAATTCATTAATGTTAATTATCTACACTCCACACTGAACCTGACTGCACTGTCTGCAACACTGATCCTGCTGTTATTTCTGGACTGTAACTTTGACTGGACCTATCTGTGTTTGTGTGTATTAAAGAGGAATGCGATCTGTGATCTGCTGATACATCATATCTGTGAAAAACAATTAAAAGTGCTCATAAAATGCTATTATTACTATCACTGTAAGAGCTAGAGCTTCAGGTCAGGCCATAGAGGTCAAAACTCACTCAATGAGGCATTAAACACAGACATACTAACTACAATGCTAATTTTTGTCCCTGTGGGATTGTAATAGCATGTTAACACTAAGCTAATGGTAGTGTACATTAACATTTTTCAGCCAGTCTGGATGAAACACTGACATATGAAGCTTGTAAAAGTCATTTCATCTGTTTTATCTGAAGCTTATAATAGATATAATAGATAGGTATGTAGAACCTCCATAAAGCTCTTTTCTTACCATCCTACTGTAAACCAATTATGTTGGTAGTTAATCTAATGTGTAAGGCCTTCAGTCCAGCTCCTGAAGTCCTAACCAATAAGAGAGCAGCTCAGCTGTACCTACCTAGAAACTGCAGAGAGAATAATCTTGATTGGGCAATTTTCTGTTGGCCATTTCAAGATGCCATCTGGAAGAAGGTACCACAGCATTCAGGCCCTCACAGCCAGACTGGGCAATGGTTTCTTTACACAAGCAATCAGATTGTTCAACTCCCACAGACCCACACACACACACACACATAACACCCACACGGACCCACACACACACACACCCCACACACACATAACACCCACACAGACCCACACACACACACACGTAACACCCACACAGACCCACACACACACACACCCCACATACACACATAACACCGACACGGACCCACACACACACATACATAACACTGACACGGACCCACACACACATACATAACACTGACACGGACCCACACACACACATACATAACACTGACACGGACCCACACACACACATACATAACACTGACACGGACCCACACACACACATACATAACACCCACACGGACCCACACACACACATACATAACACCGACATGGACCCACACGCAAACATATATAACACCCACACGGACCCACACACACACACCCACACACACACACACACACACACACACATAACACCCACACGGACCCACACACACACATAACACCGTCAAGGACCCACACACAAACATATATAACACCCACACGGACCCCCACACACACACACACACATATATAACACCCACACGGACCCACACACACACACACACACACACACAAACATATATAACACTCACACGGACCCACACACACACACACATAACACCGACACGGAACCACACACACACATACATAACACCCACATGGACCCACACACACACATAACACCCACACGGACACACACACACACATAACACCCACACGGACACACACACACACACACACACACACATACATACCCACACGGACCCACACACACACACATACATAACACCCACACGGACCCACACACACACATATACATAACACCCACACGGACACACACACACATACATAACACCCATATGGACACACACACACACACACACACACACATAACACCCACACGGACCCACACACACACACACATAACACCCACATGGACACACACACACACACACACACATACATAACACCCACACAGACACACACACACACACACACACACACACACATAACACCCACACGGACCCACACACACACACATATACACATAACACCCACACGGACCCACACACACACATATACACATAACACCGACACGGACCCACACACACACATACATAACACCCACACGGACACACACACACACATAACACCTACACACACACACACCTACATAACACCCACACACACACATACATAACAATATAGGTATAACTCACTCTCCACTTCCTGCAGTTCCAAATTATGAACAATAAATATAGTTACTGCATTTTACTGAAACACTTCACTTGATATGACTGTTGAACTGAATACTTTGTATTTTTGCACATTTTGCTTTAATATTGTTAGCTGCTAGAGTACGGTATCAACCAAATACTGTATACTGTATATTGCTGCTCTGGTCGCTACCTCAGTGACTGCTATGCTCATATATGCTAGAATATCTAAACTGCTAATATGTCATAGTACGTTCCATCCTCATTTGCACAGCTCTGTGTTCTGTTCTGTATTTATTGTAAGTCTTTTGTATTTATTTATTGTTCTGTATTGTCTGCAATGTGTTTATTGTATTGTCTCACACTTGTGTTCCTGTGTAGGTCCTAAAGGAACATTGTTTCATTTCACTGTGTACTTGTATAGAGCTGAAATGACAATAAAACCTCTTGAACTTGAAGATTTTAATCCTTTTGTTTCCAGTCAGAACTTAGCAATGAAATGAGCGGTACACAACTCAGAGTTTAAACATGATGATTATATTAAATAAAAATAACCATTAACTATAACTATAAAATTAAATTAACTATTAACTGTTAGACGTGCATTTTTTTATTTCACAGGGATCATTAGATCTTCTCTGAACACCAAGAAGGTTCTAAAGGTTCCTCACTGTGTCTGTGACAATCCTAAAACAGGAGAGAAGAAGAGAGGAGGAGGAGGAGAGTTAAGCCCGAGGGAACAGTCCAGCGCTGTGTCCTGCATACTGGCCCCCATTAGGCCTGACAGGTGATGTATGATGCAAAAAGCAAAAACAAACGACTCAGCAGAAACATAGAGACTTTGATAAACGAAGGGAAGGAGACACAGATTCTGAGAGCTCATCACGGCCGAGCCGCAGGACTCTGCAGGAAAACAGCTTCAGTATCTGAACAGGGGGTCCGATTAGGCCGCACAGACTAAACTCGGCTTCAGCACCACAGCAGCAGGTAACGCAGAGCTCTGCTCCTGATTCGGGTTTATAAAAGAAGAAAAACAATGACGTTAACAGCTCATACAAACGATGCAACACACAGAATTGAAAATGCAAATGTTTTGGTCAATTTACCACCTGAGCTCCTCCTGTGGCCTCAAGTTATCCCACTTCTGACACCAGTGAGAATTCCCCAAACCAGATAATCACATAACTTCGCAGGAGCAGCAAATTAATAACTGCAAAAGCTAGCAGGCGAATAGATTATCATACATACCACAGTGTAGCGCAGAATAATAAGGGTAATTAGAGCTGCATGGCTAACGGTGCATGGCTCACCGCAGTCGGCCACGCCGGATCTCTCAGCTCGATGCTGCTGAGTGTTTCTGTGTCATTTTGGAAATATAGGAATTGTAATGAACATTTAATGAATCAGTCAACCAAAATTTATTTAAACATCAAAAAACCTGAAAAAACTCCAAGACGCTCTTCTTTTTTAAAACAATTGAAAAGGCTTTATTGTTTTTAATTGTTTTGAAGTGGAGAGTGTCTTCGAATTTTTCTAGGTTTTGATGTTTAAATTTATCCAATCCAAAGAAAACCTCACACAAACTGGATGTGCGTCCAGGACGTGTTACTACCCAAACTGTTCTTTAACCTGTATTTAAACTCAGATACACTGAGGGTCACTGTTATTCATAGCGTAGACCAGCTTTAGAACAGAGAACAACGGAGTGACCCTCAGTGTGCTCTGAGTTTAGATACAGGAAAAAACATACCAATCAAATCAAATAAGAACAAACTGATATCAGAAAAAAGAGCTGTGGGCTGTAAACAGTCTGATACACTGTTTACTGCTTACAGTGAGAATAAAGTACAGATTTACGATTTTCATAATTTCAGAATGCATCATCATCCACACAAGCTGGAAAGTTAGCTCACTCAGTCTTACTAGCTACCTTAGCGGGACCTACGAGTGCCGTGTGGTTTAAATTTAATGTAAACTTTAATGAATCAAACGTTAATATTTCTGTATAAAAACAGGGATTTTTATTATTATCTGTGATGTCTACATTTAAATTGAACAGGACATGTACTGCAATGTTTACGCTAAAACAGCACACAGGATTATGGGTAAACAGATGAGCCAATAGAACATGCACAAAGCCCCATCCACTACAATATGTAAATATGTTTAATGAATCACTGATACATCATCAGCCAATACAATCCTCAATACAATCCCATCAGTACGGACCATGTAACCCCCGTCACTTTGATTTTGTGTGGCAGTGGAACGCTGAGGAGGGTCTGTATCTGCTCTGGTTCTCCTGAAGCTCTGTGTTGTTTCCTGTGGACACTGTTAGAGGACAGTATGGATTTTCTGTCCTCCTGAATGAGCTCCTGGAAATATCACCCTTTAAAAGACGAGGCTGAGGTGATTAAGCTGGCGTGTAGAAGATGCACTTTTTAGACCGTCTCCTCCACAGATGAAGCTCTGGGGGGGACCGCTGTGTGTTCCTGAGGTTTAAAATAGGAGAACAACTCAAAACATCCTGGATTTAACATTTACAGTTTCAGACCCACCACATGGTTTAGCGTCTCACTGTGGAGCTCGGCTGTGAGAGGGTCATGCTGAGGCTGAGCTGGAACGTCCATTTGGATGAGATGAGAGAGCTGTCAGCGTGACGTTCTCCAGAGGAACCTGCACGTCAGCTGAGAGACTATAATGAGCAGAAATTAGATCCCCTGAGAGACGGCTGAGACCCCCACGCACTCCCACAAACGTCTATAGAGTACAGATCTGACAGCAGCTCATGACCTCATCAACCCCCCCATCCCCCACGGCTCCCCCCATGGCCCCCCGTTCATTATTTTACATAAAAGTAGCAAAATATTAAAATACAAAACATCTTTTTCTTTTCTGTTCCTGAAACTGGAGCCTGAATTCCAGATGATTCTGATCTGATTAGAATTCTTTAAAACTGCTGATCTTTAAATGATCTGTTTAAACTGAAGTGATATCAGATCATAACTGCATTTTCACAGAGTATCAATACCCACAACACTCGCTTCTGTCCTGTTAAAGGATCATGTGATCAGATTTAAAATGAAGATACTGGAACACAAATTCATTTCTAAAGGTATCAGACAGTGAAGAGCATCAGACAGGATTCTGGATATTTTCATACATTTTCAGATGGATTTGATAAACACATTTACACACAGTTATTTCTGTATGGAACATTTCTGTGTGTAATATTTCCCCATACATTTTAAAATAAATGCATTTTAAAATATATTTGGTTAATATAGTAATACATTCTGAAATACATGTTAGTGTTTGGAGTTTATTACAAATAATACAAATACATGTCCATATATTTTTTTTTATGTGAGCTGAAAACTAGTGTTTTTTTTTCCGTTGCTCAGTCCAGTACGGAAAGGTCCAGCTTCATTGTTCCTGCTGAAGACCACCTCCGTGAGCCTCCAAGGGGCGTTTTGAGTGTTTTAGTACATGTTTTCACACTCGGCAGAGAAAAGTATGAACTCTGATTCTGTGCAAATGCACTTCAGTCTGAGCAGAACCTGCTGTGCTGTTTCATATCAGCCCATAAATAAAGCTAAAAATAACTAGCGAGCGAAACAGCTGTTAGCCAAATTAGCTGCTATAGAGCAGTTATTGTTGCAATTCCAGGTGGAAAATTAGCTAGAACCAGAACTACATTGGTTCCTGTTTGGGTCAGTTCTTGTTTTTGATTGTGCAGCATAAAAAGTCCTCATTCTCAAATTAGTCACAGGAGGAAATACATAAAATACACAATTAATTTACACTAAACATCTGCAGCTTTACATTCAGTTTAGATGAAACAGAAACATCAGTCACAGTGTAAAATCACTTACAGTGTAAAATCACTCAGTGTAAAATCACTTACAGTGTAAAATCACTCAGAGTTTCAGGACAGATGTGTCTGTAGAGGAACAGCGTCCTCTAGTGGATCAACAGTGAACTATGTGTTAGAGGAGAGTTACTGAAGTAGCTCTCAGCAGTAAAGCAGCGCAGTGATCTCTGTTTGGGGTTTACAGTGGTGGTCAGTAGTGCCATCTAAGTGCCCTTTCTGTGCCCTCTGTGTGACCTATAGTGGGAGCACATCGGTCAATCAATCAGTCAATCAATCAGCCTTTATTTTTGCTCAGAAACTCACTGAGGCTGACCCTCATTTTCAGTGCAGACTAAGTGCAGCTGCTCTTTTACCCAGAATTCCTCCGAATAGAGGCTGTAGCCAGTCAGTGGACAGATCTGTCTGACCAATGTGGACAACAATGCATCACTTTATTAGTGCAGCTCGTTATGGGAGCTTATACTTAAGCTTGTACTCTGGACTGATTCTTTACCAGAACGTTCCCTGGAAAAATCCTTAAGAACTAGAGGAAGAACCTCTGCGAACCGAGACTTTAAAGGAGAAACTTTCTGAAAGCAGTTTCGTCAGTTTTTCAGAGGAATCCAGGCAGAGTTACAGTTTGTAGACTATGAAGGACCAACTGGGTGAACCAGTCTGCTACAGCGCCACCCTGAGGCAGAGCAGTGCTGCAGCTCTAGGCAGTTAAGAGAAAGACAGAAGCTGATTGTGGGAGAAGCAGATCAACACTCAGCTTCACTGAGTCTGGATTGTATTGGAGGTTCTGCTTTACTCTAATGACAGCATAACGTCATAATAATTTCATTTTCAGGGACCCCCAGAATTTTTACTTTGAAACATTAATGGGGTCTAAGAGGTTAATTAGAGGGTCCCAGACTCCCCTGGACCCCCTGTATTTAGCACGTTGCCTAAGAGCTTGAGGAGGAACCACTGAGAGGAATCGAAACTGAGGGGAACCCGCCCTGCTCTCTGCTCTGCTAATGGTGAGTTTGGATCAGCCTCTAAAAGCAGTAAACAATAATAACAACAACAACAACAACAATAATAATACTAATAATAATAATAATAGTACTACTTTACACTTCACACGATTTATAAGCAGCTCCACAAACAGGTTTTTGTAAATAAAGTCGATCCGGATCATTTTAAAGGTCAGTGTTTCTCCCGCTGCGTTCGCCAATATTTACATTAGCCCCGCCCTCTGCTCTATGATTGGCCAGTTTGTCAGATTCATGCGGGCGGGCGATGGGCAGACTGGCTGTGACGATCGAATATTAGCCAATCGGCGCAGAGGACCGCTCATGGAACGACCTACCAGCCAATCGTAGCGCGGGGGACGGGGTTTATTTGTTCTTGAATGGGGGGAGGGGGGAACAGCGCCTCACAGCGCCTCATAGCGGTCAGTGGTCGCGCTGCAGCTCTGCAGCCTTTTAGAGGCTAACAGCGGAGGAAGGAGCTCGAGCTCAGCTCAGAGGAGACATCTCCGCCCAGAGCGCGAGGACCTGCTGGACGGCTCTGACCTGGAGGAGGAACGCGGCCAGGTGAGCTGCTGGTCCTGCACTTTGAAGTGGGTGAAGGGGGGAGTCAGATTTCTCTGAGCTGAAGTTGGTTTCCTTTTCGAATTTTCCGTTCCACCTTAAACGGTGCAGCACTTACATATTGGCGCTTCAGGCGTAATGATAATAACTGCCGCACCATTTAAGGTGGAACGGGAAATTCTAACGGAGAACCACTTTCAGGCTCTCTAAAGCTAACAGGTTGTTACTGTGTTCTGTTGTAACTCACAGTAAACAGATGTTTACACACCGTGATGGTGTTTATTCTGTAAATTATCGATAAAATAACGATAATCGTTTTAGGTCGTCGCTGTTTAACAGTCGGCCCACCGTTAGTCTTCATTACCGCGGGGCTGTAACGGTGGTTCTGTTTTAAGGGCCTTATTGAGTCAGAGGTTCAGTGCAGACTGAGAGCTGGAGCTACACGGACTTCTGTTCTGATTTAATAAGAAATGAATATTAACGGTAATAATTCCATTTAAACCCCTGTAGGAACCCGAGCTGAGGAGTGAGGAGGGAAGGAGGCGGATTCTGCGGTTTTCCTGGCTGTTTTTTCAGTTTTTTAAACAGCTGCTGATAAAGATGTCTTAAAAACATGAAGCTCAGTGTTTATTAACAGACGAGAACAGATTTTCCGCTTCAAACGGCTGCATTTTTATTCTTTTATGCACCAAAAAGACAATTCATTTCTAATGATCATTTAGGTTCAAACTTTATCAATAATAAACACAAGTGCATGAAATATGATGTTTGTTCAATCAGCTCAGTCAACAAATCCAGCATTACTGACAATATTAACCAGTGAAAAGTAATGTAAATAATAACATTGATGACGTTATTTCATTCTCATTCACAGCCAATCAAAACGTTCATAATGATAGTTTAAAAGCCCTCAGCAGAAAAATAACTGGTCCAAATTTCCTGCTGTTTCATAGGGATTTACAGTTCTTACACTCTTAAAAACGACCTGCAGGAGTTCTTTAGTAAAGAAAATGGTTCTATATAACCCTTCAAGAACCACCATCTTTAAGTATGCACTTCATTAACTATGTGTTTTATTTATTTTATCCTCATTTAATGTGTTATTTATGAGGTTATTGTTCTGGTACAAGTTTATTAGTTTATTCTGATTTTATTTTTTTTCACTCTTAAATTTATTATTAGGATTCATTATTTTCATTTTGTAGCATTTGATCTGTTTTACTATTCAGTTTTTTCAGTCCCTGTTTTCTGTTCTGGCTACACTGTAAATGACAGTCTCCCTCACTGAACTCTGAGTTTAAAAAATGGCTAATTGATTTACAGGCAAACGTACTTGGAAGGACTGTCTGAAGTCCAGCAGGTCCTGCTGATCTCATTTCTTTTTCAAACTTTTAATAATGTTTACATACTACTTAAGTTTTTATTTGAGAAAATTCAGTTTTCGTTCATCTGGCCCTTTAAAGGGGTAAACAAAAAAGGGCAAAGCCCAGATCAGCTGACGTTCCTCTGCTGTGGATCCTGGTCGGAGGTCCGTGTCTGTGTTGGTGTAAACGTTCTCTGGTTCGTTCTCTGTTTGGTTCTCTGTTTGCACTCGGTGGGATTCTGAAATGTTGAAACAGAAGAAACAGTGAAGAAAAAAGATGTGTGTCAAAGTCATTTCTTAAATATCTGTTTGTTCTCCCCCCCCCCAAAGCCACTTGCCTCTTACACGTTGACATGGCAACCACAGCGATGGAGAAGATCGGTTGGCTGTTCATTAACCTGCAGCAGGTGAGGCGGGTGCCGCAGAAGCTGAGGGAGGCGGTGCCGTCCGTGCCTGCCACGGTGCGAGACGCCGAGGTGCCCAGCTTCTTCCGCGAGCGCTACGTCCACACCGGCTACCGACCGCTGCGTCAGAGCTGGAGATACTATTTATTGTCTCTGTTCCTGCGCCATAACGAGACCGTGAACGTGTGGACGCACCTGCTGGGGGCTCTGGTGGTCCTTGCCCAAACGGCTCGGCTGGCGGAGAGCGTGGATTTTCTTGGTGACCCTCACAGCTGGCCGCTGCTGGTTCTCCTCCTATCCTCCGCAACCTACCTGACCTTCAGCGCCACGGCTCACCTGCTCGGCGCCAAATCCGAGCTCGTCCATTATGGCTTCTACTTCCTGGATTACGTGGGCGTGGCGCAGTACCAGTGTGGCAGCGCCGTGGTGCATTTTTATTACGCCGTGGAGCCAAGCTGGTACCAGCACGTGAGCGGGATCTTCATGCCTGTGGCGAGTTTGCTCAGCTGCCTGTTCTGTGTGGGCAGCTGCTACGGAAAGTACCAGAACTACAGCCTTCCGTCCTGGGTGCGTAAAGTGGGTCAGGTGGTGCCCTCGGCTCTGGCCTACGTTTGGAACACCAGCCCCGTGCTCCATCGCATTGGGCTCTGGTACCTGTCCGACTCCAGAAGCAACCGTGCAGTGATGTTCCACTGCGGTCAGGTGATCTTTTTTCTGTGCGGCGCGTTCTTCTTCACCCACCCTCTGCCTGAGCGCCTGTTCCCGGGTCACTTTGATTTTCTGGGTCAGGGTCACCAGCTGTTCCACGTGTTCCTGGCGCTCTGCACTCTCTCCCAGATCCACGCCTCGTACCTGGACTACCTCGACCGGAGACACATCTACTCCCGTCTCCATGGTGATGGAGCAGCGCTGTATTTCGCTCTGCTGTATGTGGTGACGACGGCTGTCAGTGCTCAGATTGCTGCTTGCGTGATGAAGAAAGTTAAAAGACTGCTGGAATGTGAGAAAAAGGCCAAATAAAGACAGAAAGACGGTTTGAAAGTAGTTTGCACTTTTGCGCCAAGTGCACTTACAGACCTGCATTCCATAAATGTTGGGACAGTGTGTAAAATCCAAATAATAACAAAAAATTCAAAAAAGTCCACTTTTATCTGTATTTGAACTAAATAGAAAAGTACAAAGACAAGATATTTGATACTTTATCTTGTCAACTGTATTGTTTTTTTATAAATACACATTAATTCTGAAACTGATGGCTGCAACATGTTCCAAAAAAGTTTAAACAGGAGTAATTTAAAATGTTCCAGGTACAGTTAAGACTGTACTCTGCACAGTGGAAGTCACATATCAACAATATCCAGAAACGCCGCCGACTTCTCTGGGCTCAAGCTCATCTGAAACGGACTGATGCTCAGTGGAAACCTGTATTTTGGTAATCAGAGTGCGTGTTAGACTGACTTGCCTGCCTCTCTTTAAAACATGCAGCACATGCAAAGCACAAAATTCGGCACTGAAGGCCCCGAACGACTGAGCAGCTGAAGACTCGTATAACAGGAATGTAAAAAAATTCCTGAATCAGTTTTGAGTCTTTAGTTCCTTAAACAATTATTAAGAGCTGTTTAAGGAAAGTTGATGTAAGTGTGTGTGAAGATGCTCCTATTCTGACATTTGGAACATCTTACAGGCATCAAATTTGGAATTAGCAGATATTTACTAAAAATAATAAGGTTTTTTTTTGTTTTTTTTTACTGTTTTCAGTTTAATGCAGGTCAGAGTTCACTAATCTGTCACTGGTTTCTGTTTTTATCAGCATTTCACACACTGACCCAACGTCTCTGTTACTGAGGTTTGTAGATTTTTCTCTTTCTGTGTTTGGTTGCTGGACTGTGTCGGTCATTCAACCTCAAACTATGTCACAATGCAGTTATTTGACATTCCGTATCCGACAGCATTCCGGAGAGTTTTGGGGAAACTGACCTTTTAGTTAAATTTTATATATAAAACGTTAAAATAAGTTTTTGTGTGTAAACAACAAACGTTCAAGCACAGTGTTTAACAGGTTCTGTTTCATTATGGTTCTGTTTCAGTACTGTTTATAACACTCTTATCCACTTTGCTCACACAGTGCAGAAGGAGGGGCTCAGTGTAGAGCACATTATTTGGAGGGGTCAGTGTAGAGCAGATTATTCGGAGGGGTCAGTGAGGAGCAGATTATTTGGAGGGGTCAGTGAGGAAGAGATTATTTGGAGGAATCAGTGAGGAGCAGATTATCTGGACGGGTCATTGAGGAAGAGATTATTCGGAGGGGATCAGTGAGGAGCAGATTATTCGGAGGGGTCAGTGAGGAAGAGATTATTCAGAGGGGTCAGTGAAGAGCAGATTATTCAGAGGGGTCAGTGAAGAGCAGATTATTCAGAGGGGTCAGTGAAGAGCAGATTATTCAGAGGAGTCAGTGAAGAGCAGATTATTTGGAGGGGTCAGTGTAGAGCAGATTGTTCAGAGGGGTCAGTGAAGAGCAGATTATTCAGAGGGGTCAGTAAGGAAGAGATTATTTGGAGGAGTCAGTGTAGTGCAGATTATTCAGAAGGCTCAGTGAATAGCAGATTATTCGGAGAAGTCAGAGAGGCCTTTGTGTAGCCTTTAGCCTGTAGCCTCAGCCCATAAACATCATGGTCCTTAAGGTGGCGCCAGGGATTCTCTCGAGGGGAAACGGTGAGGCTGAGTGGACGAGGGCAGTAAAAGCTGGTGTTGAAACGGGCAGTCAGACTTATCAGTGTTCATGTTTCTGCAATTTTTTTGTTTCATTTAATTAAAGTAGTTGTGGTCAGTTAATGGTCAGTATCTTTTTTAGCAGGTAGGCGCACAGATGGGGTGGGGGGCAATGTAGGCTGAGCTGCCCCTTTATCCTCAGACTCTACCAGTGTCCTTTTGGTCAGTGTATTTTATAACTGTGTTTATATGGTCATTGTTCAGGATCTGTTCCGGCAAGATTCAGTCAGAGCATGTAGAGAGGAGACCCACCTGTGAGACACTAGATGGCGCTCCAGAGCAAGTCTAAAATGAATGGATTGATATGAAGCTTTTGGGTGAAGTTATAGTTTAAAAAAGTTTGTTTTTAGTAGAGAAAAATGCACTAATTTTTGGACACAGAACAACAATCAGTGCTCAGTAGCAGTAACGCTAACCAATCAGCACTCAGTACCAGTAATGCTAACCAATCAGCACTCAGTAGCAGTAATGCTAACCAATCAGCACTCAGTAGCAGTAATGCTAACCAATCAGCACTCAGTAGCAGTAATGCTAACGAATTAGCACTCAGTAGCAGTAATGCTAACGAATTAGCACTCAGTAGCAGTAATGCTAACCATCTAGCACTCAGTAGCAGTAATGCTAACCATCTAGCACTCAGTAGCAGTAATGCTAACCAATCAGCTCTCAGTAGCAGTAATGCTAACCAATCAGCACTCAGTATCAGTAATGCTAACCAATCAGCACTCAGTATCAGTAATGCTAACAATTAGCTCTCAGTAGCAGTAATGCTAACCAATTAGCTCTCAGTAGCAGTAATGCTAACCAATCAGCGCTCAGTATCAGTGATGTTGGCGTCTGTTTGCTGTAGTAAGGGATCATCCAGGTAAGTTTTCTCTGCTGTTGTAGTGAGTTTAGTTCTTCTGCTGTCTAAATTAAAAGGAAAGTTCTGAGTGATTAGAAACTATTTTAGCTTTTGGTTTTTAGCCGTTTAGCTCCATTCACCCCACTCATTGAGGACTCGCTCGCTGACGCCCCCTACTGTTTATTAGTCCTGTTTTTGATATAATGGGAGAAACAGTAACAGTAACAGTTCTAATCCCTGTTTGGACTTGAAAGCTGGTGTTTTTTGGAACTTCTTTCTCTGAATCGTGATGAGTGTTTGCTGTGAGCTCTTAATTAAATTTAAATTAAGTTTAATTCTTGTTGCTCTTTTTCACCCTGAGCACTCAAATTATCCGTCTGTGTTCTGGGTCAGTAGAACCGACTTTAAGGGGTTTTTGTGTGGGCCGGCAGGGCTGAATGATTAATTTGTTATTATTGTTTTTATATTTAAGTTTAATTGTGATTTTGATCATTTTATTTGTCGTCTTAAGCTTTCATTGTAGAAATTTAACAGCTGTTGAGCTGAGACTCTTCTGAGCTTCAGGTCTGAAAACACAGACAGGCTGGTGTAAAGAAAAGGCCTGTAGCTTAACGAGGAATTCCACCAATTTTTCCTCCGTAATTAAATGAGATGTAAACAGAGTCGTTCAGAGAGTTTTGGTGTGAAATGATCGATTGTAGTGTTTACACCAATGACTTTGTTTACATCTCACTGAATTATGGAGAAATATTAAAAAATGGGTGAAGGTTCCCTTTATAGAAAATAATCGCATTTAAATCACAGATGCAGTGTTGGTCAGAGAAAGGCAATCACTGGCGTGTCGTGAGTCGGTCAGCGCTGCTGTAGGTCAGCGTCTGAGGTGATGATTAAAGGGCGAAGCTGAGCTCAGCGGCTCTGTAATGAGAGTAAATCAGTGTTTTCAGCTCTGAGGTCATTTGTGATCCTGCAGTCGTGTGTCTGATCATAGTTACAGGATTTCTCTGGACGAGCGTCTCTGGATCTGAATTACGACCTCGTTACAGAGCTGAAATATGAACAATGCTACATGTGAGCTAACAGTGAACTGACCTCATCAGACTGACCTCACCAAAATCTCCCACACTGACCGGCTGGTCTGTCCAGTGTGGAGGTCAGAGGTCGCAGGCGTCTGGAGTTCCGACTGAGCAGAGTGAAAACTGCACACTGCAGATTCACACCGAGCGGCCAGCGTTAGCTGCATGTAGCAGTATTAGCATTAACTACATATATTAACTACATACATTAACTACAACTACATATGAATTACATAACTGTAATTCAGAGGATGCAGTGACACTTGGGGGAAACGTACAAACAGACTAAACGTTCCCGCTCTAGAACACTGTTGTTCTCCAGAGTGAGAGTTAATTGTTCTAATAGAGACGAACAGCTCAGAGCGGAACTCCTTATATGGGCATAACGTGACTGCAGTTCACTGTAAAAGAGCCTTTATTGTTCCAGTCAGTCACTGACTGATTTACGCACAGCAGTAATAAATCATTATCAGATTACTGCAGTGATCTGATTATTAAAGTGTGAACAGATCCCTGATCTCTTAAATCGGATTAAAACTGTTAGATTTCAAGAAATCTGAGACAGAGAGCTGAAGTTCAGTTCAAGAATTAGAGAATTTAAACTGTGACTGATTTATTTGGTTTTTTTTTTGTTTGTTTTTTTTTAATGCACAAAGTCGAGCTCTGCTGTCAGAAACGGTGCACAGCGTTTAACACAGAACCACCGAAACATCAGCGCAACGCTTCTGTACACTCAAAACAGACGTGTTAAAAATAGCACATTGTTTCTCCGACTGGACCTGTCAGTTTCAGTTGGAGACACGTTTACAGAATGTGTTGCATCAGAAAAGAACATGGATAATAAGTGTCAACATGTGTAACAGATTAGCGTGTCGTTATTTAACACGTCACTTTCAGTGAAGCTGAAACTCAGTTTTGACTAAATGACTTGTTTGACTGTTCGACTCAGAGTTTCTAATTTACTGATTGTATCACATTAAACTCTCTCTGATCTCACTCTGCAGAACCTCAGTTCTACAGCTGTGGTTCTCAAACCCGGTCTCACCTGTGTGCAGTCAGATGTTCTAGACACAAATGTAGAAGAGATGATGATGTTCCAGCTCTGTGGTGAAGAAGCGCTGCAGTGATAGTGATGATTGCGATAAAGTGCAGTGTTGAAGTCTGTTTAGTGTTTGTATTGTTTGATTCACTGTTACAGTCTGAAAATGTTACTCTTAAAGAATTAAAGGACGTGTATTCTACACTTTTCTTGTTTGAATTTCTTTATTTGAGGCTGAATCATGACTGATCTGTGTGAGTTTATGAACCAAAAATAGTCTAGGGTTAGGGTTAGTTCATTCCTACATGATCATTTTTAGTCTCTCTTCATCTCTCACAGTTAAACAGGCTGATTCTGTTACTGCACCTTCAAAGCTCTGTCTCTCTCCGGCTCCAGTCACTCGACGCGTCTCTCCCTCTAAAGATTCCTGCTTCATCTGAGTGAAGCATCAGACCCGGTCTGGGCTGTGGAGCCGTTACCTGCTAGCAAACTAACAGCCCCACACACCACAAACCCTGATTAGATTCTGCTTATCGGACACTCCAGCACCGTCCACTCCACTTCACTCGCTCATTCTTCCTGAAATTCGTCACAGTTTAGCACAAGTTAGCCGGAACCGAACCGGACTTCCAGCAGAGCTGTTAGCCAGCCTGCTAACGTTAGCTAAACTTGAACCAACTTAGACAGCAACTCAGTTTATCAGCTAGACTTAGAGCATGAATTCAACACTGTCGCTCCGATTTTACAACAGTAATTAGATCAGTGACCTTTTAACTGCTTCATTTAGTCTCACACTGTGAGAGAAACAGTCAGAGGTGACTAGGTTAGCCCAGCTAGCCCACCATGGCAGACCACCGGCTAACCAGCTAACTGAGCAAGGGGCGCTAATTTTCGATTTACTGTATAAAGACTCCAACATTATCCGATTTTAGGATTAAGTCCAAGTAAATGTCCGATTAAAACTGTTAGTTCGAATTAAGTTAGTTCAAATAAACCAAGTCTTACTCACCGAGCCGTGTCGAAGGCCTGCGAAGTTTCCAGAAGCCGCTCTGAACGCTGCTCCCGCTCAACTGAACGCTGGTGAATCGCGCGCGTCGCCGCAGCGCAGGCGCACTCGGGCAGCCTCGAAACGGGTGCACTCAGCCCGCCTCAGTAGAGGCGCTGATTGTCAGTTAGCGCAGTGTTCATGCTGTTTCAATGGGCGGCAAGCAAGGGTTTTTTTTCGCAAACTTAATTTGCCTGTTACTATTATTGTTTCTGTTGTTTGCTATTTTTAACATATAAATTTAGATTTCTGAAGTGCTCTTATGATCAAAATATAAAAAATGGCAATAAAATAATAATAATAATGATCATATTTGTAAAACAAGATGACTAAGACATTATGTTGATTTAAAGTTGAAATTTCAACGTTGATTTATGAGTATTTTGTTAACTATTTCACAACCATTTAACATTAACGGTTGTTTCAACGTTGAAACAACAACTGACATTATTTCAACCACATTTCAACGTTGAAGGTCGGTCATGTGCCAGCTGGGGTCTGGCACCTCAGGTGTAATAATAATACCTGCTGCACCATTTAAGGTGGAACGGAAAAAATCAAATAAGCCTCATAAGAGACACGAGTAAGAGCTTCTTCAACCCTCCAAACTTTAGAAACTCAGTTTCCACAGAAGACGAGATTGTTTTTACAGACGTGTCGAGTCAGATGAGATGAATATAGTCTGGGGTCATTTCTCGTTCTGTTGAAGGTAAAAGGCACCGGAATCTTTACTGAAGACGCAGACGGTAAAAATCCTAAACTGGTAATAATTGCATCATCCACCCTCTCAGGCAAACTACTCCTGCCTGAACAGGGCTTAAGACTGATATATGTAAATGAGCTCTGTTCTGATTGGCTGCCCTGTGCCTCATTCAAAGAGCAGGTCAGGCTGAACTGCAGAGAGAATGGGCGGGGCTAGACTGCTGTAAGCTGAATAGGCAGATTCAGCTTAGATTCAGAGAGTTTTCATCACTGTTATTTTTCCTGTGTGGCTTCTGTACGCGCTGCAGAGCGAACAGTGCGGTTTGAGACATTAACAGTGTTTATTTAATACTCAAACTCTTTCATTCCTAATGAAAGTGAGGTGGTTGAGTTTTCGGTGGTATGAGCCCTTTAAAAGGTTTAAGCCGAGCTCAGTGGGAGCTGCAGCCGTTAAAGCTCTTCCTGCTTCTGCTGATCTCGCAGATAAAGCGACGGGCCTGTTCAGGCAGATAAGAATGGTTCTCTGCACCGTTAGACTTTCAGTGGGTCTGTAATCTACATGTTCTAGTTTAAAAGGTTTAGAACCTTTACACGATGTGGAGGTTCTTTCTGAAGTAGTTTTCACATCTCATTTACAAAAACATACTTTCGCCGGTTCTTTAGGGAACCAGGAGCACTTCTTAGACAGAGCTGCTCAAAGCCGGCACACTTAACGCCCCCACCCAACATTATAAAATTCACTTCACTGTTAAAACACACACACCATAAACAACACTTACAGATTCAGTACAATCACAAACAGAAACTCTGCCCTGCAACTGAATATGACTGACTGTACAGTAACTAAATGTAACTGTATGGTGACTGTAATTGTATAATGACTGTAATTGTGTAGTGACTGTAAGTTTAGCTGTGTAGTGACTGTAACTCTCTGTTACATCATTCATCCATTTTGCCAAACCGGCCACTGAGGTCGCCTTAAAATTTTAGATGTTTACTAACAGCCAATTTTAAATGAACTGTCTTTGTGGCGTCACTGAAACAAAACAATGATATCAACACATACATCTGGCACTGCAGCTGTTTAGCTCCACCCATTCAGCCTACAATGGTTTAGCTCCACCCATCCTACAACGTTTTAGCTCCACCCATTCAGCCTACAACGGTTTAGCTCCACCCAGCCTACAACGTTTTAGCTCCACCCATTTAGCTTACAACGTTTCTAGCTCCACCCATTCAGCCTACAACGGTTTAGCTCCACCCATAAAGCCTACAACGGTTTAGCTCCACCCATTCAGCCTACAACGGTTTAGCTCCACCCATCTTGTTTTAGCTCCACTCATTCAGCCTACAGCAGTTTAGCTCCACCCATTCAGCCTACAACAGTTTAGCTCCACCCATTCAGCCTACAACGGTTTAGCTCCACCCATTCAGCCTACAACGGTTTAGCTCCACCCATTCAACCTACAACGGTTTAGCTCCACCCATCCTGTTTTAGCTCCACCTATTCAGCCTACAACAGTTTAGCTCCACTCATTCAGCCTACAGCAGTTTAGCTCCACCCATTCAGCCTACAGCAGTTTAGCTCCACCCATTCAGCCTACAGCGGTTTAGCTCCACCCATTCAGCCTACAACGGTTTAGCTCCACCCAGCCTACAACGTTTTAGCTCCACCCATTCAGCCTACAGCGGTTTAGCTCCACCCATTCAGCCTACAACGGTTTAGCTCCACCCAGCCTACAACGTTTTAGCTCCACCCATTCAGCCTACAACAGTTTAGCTCCACTCATTCAACCTACAACGGTTTAGCTCCACCCATTCAGCCTACAACGGTTTAGCTCCACCCATTCAGCCTACAGCAATTTAGCTCCTCCCATTCAGCCTGCAGCAGTTTAGCCCCGCCCACTCATCCTACAGCAGTTTAGCCCCACCCATTCACAGTTTTATTAATCAGAATTGTTTTTGTTCCATTAAAGCACACAAACGTCAGAGCTGGGTAAAAATGCAGGGTATGGGCCCTTTAATGTCCTGCGTCTGAAAATGCGCTCCTGTCTCTTTAAGCGCAGCAGCGAATAGCGGGTGAGCGATGGCGGGCAGAGCCTGGAGATCTGAGCTCTGAGCGCATTCGCCCTCACAAACACTCGGAGAGAAGATGGGCGTCAGACTGTACTACACCACCGTCACCGCCTCGAGAGAGGTGAGCAGATTTACCGGAATAAGGCAGAAACATCAGCAGAGCTGCGGAGAGAGAGGCTTACTTTACACACAGGGGCTTAGAGACACACCCAGCCTCATTACACACACACACACACACACACGCTCATAAACACACATACTCACACACCCACAGACACACACACACACGCTCATAAACACAGACACAAACACTCACAGACACACACGGTCCGTCTGCACCTGCGCAGCAGCGTTATTAACCTGCAGATTTACAGAAAAACATATTTATCTTGTTTAGGGTTTGTAATGAGGGGCGCGCGCGGAGGAAGTGCAGACTCATCCGTGTTAAGAACGGAAGTCGTGGCCTTCTGTTTAAGAGATAAATGAGGGTTAAAATCGCTTTAATAATTTCATAAACGTTCATAAATGTTGTCTGAACAATATGTGTGAAGATGTTAGCTGTGGTTGGTCTGTGGAAGAGGCTGAAGTTGGCTTCTTTGTCGAATTCTCCTTTCCACCTTAAATGGTGCAGCAGTTACATTCTGGCGCCAGGCGGAATTTAAGGTGGAACGGGAAATTCGAAAAAGAAGATGTAGACAATTAGTCCAGATAGGTTATATATTTGTCCAAAAAGTGAAGTTAAAGCTGGACTGATTGAGTTTGACCCGAGGTGTGGTCACTGTGCAGATGTGTCCTTTAACTTCCTCAATCTGCTCTGACACACAGCGTTTCCCTGTTAATCATCAGCTCAGCTTTTTATAGCAGAACTGAAAGAAAACCTGGTTGTAAAGACTGTGTGAGGTGACTCACTGGTCTTTGGTCACTGAGTGGGCGCAGAAGGTGTGTCCAGTCTGTTCTGACTATTTTAAAGCCTCTGTGTAGCTGCTGTTTCTGTTATTGTGTTCAGTGATATACTTTATATGGTAAAGTGCTGAACTGTTTCTGTTCAGTAGTTTCTGTAGGTCATAGATGCTCAACCTGGGGCCCAAACAGGAGGAATAAACAGATTTGGAGAGATGACTTTCATATAATAAATTATGGCGTAGTATGTCTGTACTTAAAGGGGAAGACCCCTGATCTTTCATGAGGTTTGCACAATTAAGTCATTAAGATGTGAACAGAGAGATTCAGAGTGTTTTGGTGTGAAATGGTTCAGATGTCTTTACAGTGGTGGTGATAGGAACCAGGGGTCGCCATGACTACAACACAAATATAGACATTTTATTTACTATCCAGAACCACCAGTGAACCTACACGAGTCTTCTGAGTCTATATGGAATGTTGATGATGGGAAAATAGTGGAAAACCTGAAAAAAAATACTTTTTTAGAACTATTTTGCCTCACAGCGCCCTGCATGTATCCCTCCACCATGAATGGAGTTTAAGTTCTCAAAACGATCATAAAACAGTGTCTCAGTCATCAGGCAGTGAATTCATAACCATTTCATGTAGGAACTTTCTGTGAGGGAGCTTTTAGAGGTGGGACGTCTGGTTCCTATCACCACCACTGTGAACAATTCTCGGTAAGTTTGTCTAGAAATCAAACCACTCTGAACGACTCTGTTTACATCTCAGCCAGTTAATTATGCAAAAATTTTGGAAAATTTGTTGAATTCCCCTTTAAAGGAATGGTTTAGCAAAAAATAAAATTTGCGCAGTTTTTTCAGTTTCCACTCCAGATGTTGTCCATCAGCTGAGGTGCATTTGGGAGTCCAAATTTTGTGAGTGTGGAGCTACGAGAGAGTCGTGAAATATTGTTAACCCTAACAAACGGTTGCGCTGTGAAAAAGATTTAGCACCCCTGATTTAGACACACAGGCGCTGAATTCAGACTCGTCACTCAGGGGTATCGACACCACATTACATTCTCGACTTCTTTTGTTTCTGTTTATAAACATGTTTGCATCTCACAGTGAGTCACCCTGCCTCCTAAATCACGTCTACAAATCCACCTTAACGAAGAGCTGTGAGATTTCTGAGCACTGAGCGCTTTTTTCGGAAAGTATCTAGAGAAACGATTTGATTTGGGTGACTATTGACTAGTGTTTGTTAGCCACAAGTATTAGCCTTGTAGCTCCAGCACTAAAAGTGGAAAATTGTGTAAATTGTTTTTTGTACTGAACTCGTACGTAAAAGAACACTGAACTCCGTGTTTCATTACAAACAGATTGTAATTAGTCCTGTTTAATTGGATTTAGTGAAACACCAGAGAAACTGAAACACATTTAAATTTGGCTCTGCTGGTGGTCTTTTCTTATTAAACTTATCAAACCTCAGAAAAACTGAATATAGTGATATATTTTTTATCATATCGTGCAGCTCTGCTCTGAGACTCCGCTCTTTCAACTCTGTGTGAGTTGAAAGATTAATCGCTTTTATATCAAAATAGCAATTTTCAAATCACAGTTTTTAATGATGATCAAAAACATTCTCATGTTTTAAGTGGGGAAATTTAACCTAAGAACATGTAGTTTTTGAACTGCATGTAGATGAGTTAGACCAATCAGAGGCAACTAAACCTCTACGTGATGTGACTTCACAACGCCAACTCACTGGCAGTTTGGCACACAAATTGGATATTTTCCATGAATCATCCAGCCCTACTGTGAGTGTAGTGTGACGGTGATCTGGGGCTGTTTTACAGAAACTTCCTCTCCGTAGTCTTAGGTTCAGATCTGACGGGTCAAGATAGGATTTTACACTAATTCATATTATAGAAGCAAATCTGATCTTAATTCCAATTTTCTTATTTCTTATTCTTATTAATTTTCTTATTTCCAGTTAGGGAATCTTAACCTACTCAATTGTCATGTCTGTTTCCTAGCAACCGACCATAAACACACAGCTGAAACGTAAACACGTCATCAAAATAATGTTAAAATGTGAGTTAAGCTGCTGTTACTGATGTAAAAAAAGGTCAAACAGAACTAAAGTGTGATAAACTGTAAGTAGTGAATACTGTGAGAGCGCCCCCTGCTGTTTATCAGAGTGTTGCCGCTCCCCAGTTTCAGTCTCCATTTCCCAAACGCTTTAGCCGAGCATGCTAACATTACTCCTCCTAATAAACAGACCCACGTTCAGCTCCGTCTCCTCATTATTCACCACCATCACTGTAATATTTCATCATCAACATCAACACACGAAGGTAATCAGAGGGGCGGTGGAGATCGAGTCTGCAGCGTCTGAGATCTTTAAAACGCAGAGTTAGAAAAGAAAATCATCTCACAGTGAAAGCAGCGTTTTACAGTAGGAATAAATGGAGCTCATTATGCTGGTAGTGAACTATGCTGCTGACTCAGCTGCCTAAAAACCATAGAAACGGACCTTAAACAGAAGTGAGGACCCTGTTGGGGTTCATCCTAAAGTTAGGACAGGATTTAGGAGGTTTAGTCTAGTTAGGATGTTTGTGTGATGCTGTTTTCTTATCTGGCGTTCATGATGAGATTATGAAGTTAGGAGCTGTTATTCTGTAATAGATACTGTCCAAAATTCAGTCTGTATTAAAGTCGTCATGGAGACCAAACAGATCAGATTTCAGAGTTAGGATGGTTCTGTAATATAGGCACTGGTTCTGAAGTGTTCATTACAGGTTCTAATGGTCGGGTTCTGTGTTGATATTAAAGTTGTGGTGGTCTCTGATGGTGGTCTGTCACACTGCTCTGGATTTCAGGTGAAGTCTCAGCAGGCTGAAGTAATGCGGATCCTGGAGAGTAAAAACATCCAGTATGAGCTGATCGATATTTCGGCGGATGGAGCTCTCCGGGACGAGATGAGGACCAAATCCGGAAACCCTACAGCGGTTCCGCCGCAGATCTTCAACGAAGATCAATACTGCGGGGTAAGAAGGAGCGCGTTTATTTACGAGTATTCAGAAGAATTAATAAATACATTCTTTCACTGCTGTAACTACAAACAAACAGCGTTTTAGATCAGATTAGATTAGACACAGACTCGCAGACTCGGCACAGATCAGGAACACAGGGTGAGAGCAGTGATTTTCTCCGTCACTACAGCAGAAACTCCACTGAACACAGGAGCGCCAGTGGGTCAGAGTTCTGACAGGTCGTCTGACGTTACTGTAATGCTCCGACTCTCACTGTCACTGTAAAATGAGTTTACTGATCGTTTTTCAGAATCCATATAAATTAAATAAACAGTTTGTTTTCTTTCTTTCTGTTTCTGTCAGATTAACATTTATAGAACTGTGTAAAACAGTCCAATCACAGCAAACAGTCAAGATTATAAAACACTCTTTATTAATGAGAATTTATTCACTTTATTAATGCTGACTCCGGTGTTTTCTGGTTCTGTGATATATTATTATGTTGTGGAGACTAAAGTGATGAATGTTATTGATATTGATCAGCGCTGCAGCTCCGCCATCACTTACTGACACAGTAACAGTAGAGCTTTTGTGTTATTGTTTTGTTGTTGTTTGTTGTTGTTTGTTGTTCTCTGTGCAGAACCTCATGACCTCTGTGTGTTTCTGTTCTTAACAGAACTATGTGATGTTCTCCGAGGCGGTGGAGGAGGACACAGTGGAGAAGTTTCTGAAGCTCGCATGAGAAGCACACCTGGTAGCATCCAATAACAGCCCCCCCATTTCCCCCCATCCCCCCCACCCCCCCACCCCAAAAAACCCTGAAAGGAACATCTGCCCCCTCTGCCCGCTGGCGGTGCCCACCTGCCCCCCCCATGCCATGTTAACATGCCAAATACATATAATCCCCCAAAACAGCCCCCCCACCTCTCACCTGAAAGCGCAGCCCGCTGTTCTCTTGACCCGACCCACTCCTCTCCGCTGGATCCACCTCCGTCTCTTCACTGTGTTCAGTGTCTCTGCTGCTCTGATCTGTATGTTGGAGTGATCAGAGCTCCTGGTCTGTGTTCGGCTAATCTGGACTGACACTTTTTACTCACGTTTATGTTAATCCACACTCAGACAAACAAACACAGTCATCTTAACTTCCAGTGGACCAAAAAAGAGAGAAATGATCTTAAAAATATTATCGAGTCTTATTTTTTTCTGCTTTCACATGTTTGTTTTACATTGTGATTATTGTAGAAGTGATTATTGATCACAGCCAAGACGTTAAAATTCCGACTGTGTTTATTGGAGTTGTGTGGAGCCATTTCATTGGAAAACATTCCGTCGTCTTAAACGGTGCCAATAAATTTCCATGAAAGTCAGTTTTCCTCATGAACACTGTGTCCTGGTTTCTGAGGTTTTGGATGATTTTCCAGAAAAAGCTCCAAAATGGCTGATAGTGCGGAGCGTAAATCAGACAGCGGTATTTAGCGGTGCCGAGTTCTGGAGTTCTGATATCTTTGTTGCTTAACTCTTTACTGGTTTTCCTTTCGGTGTTTGATTTGCTCTGATTGTTCCGCTCTGCGTTGTCTCAAAGTAGATTTTCATCCCATTAGGTTCTGTTAGTGCACTGATGAGCCTGTTATTAACTCAGTATTCATTCCTAGAACCACTGATGAGTTCAGTCGCTCTGTTAGAACCTCCACATCTCAGCTTTACCTGGAACTCTCGACACGGCACAGCCAGACACTCCGCAGCAGCACTCTGCTGACCAGGCGTTTGTTTTGGGAAAGATGAGACCTGATATATGAAATCTGTTCTGTCTGATATTAGGCCTGCTTCTTAAAGGGGAACTCCACCAACTTTTCAAACACATCAAACCATTCTAATATCTTTACATCTTAACCATTAAATTATGCAGAAATTTTGAAAAATCAGTGAAGTTCCCCTTGTCACTATTTATGGCATGTAATCATCCCTCATCATCTTCATCCTGATTACAGTAGCACTTCTCAGTCTGATCCTGCAGTGGATCCTGATTGAGAACCATTGAAAAACAGCTGCCTAATTAATTGATTAATAATCATTCCTGTGTTGGTCTCTGATAGACGATCATTAGGATGATAGTGTTGAGACGTGAGATCAGAACTAACTCTGTATCGACTCTGATTCATTGATCAGTTTAATCAGTTTAATCGTTAATGTTTGATTGATTGTGTGTTTAGTGAATGTTTGTTGCTTGCTGTGCTCCGTACTGCTCGGCTTTTTGGACCAATCGCCCCTCTTTGGCCAAAACAGGAAAAACTAGGGAAAGAAACAGTGTTGTCTTCCGAGAAGATGGTGAGATGGTGAAAATGGATCAATAAAAAGAAAAGAAAACGTTAAAAATGCGTCCAGTGTTTTTCTTTACTGACACACTGAAGAAAAAAAAATGTGATTATTAACCGATTCATTAATGTTAAGCCGTGATACAGCAATCGAGGCTGTTCTGTCACATTAAATCAAGTGAAGATCCAGAGTCATTAAAGGGCCAGATCAGAGAAAACTGAACTTTCTTGATGTAAGACTTAGTTTCACTTCTCAGGACACACAGTCCACACTCAGCCTGGATCAGTCTTAAAGGCACAGTAACAAAAACAGCCTTTTAACAAAATACAAGAAAACACAGCATATGGGCTCTTTAAAGAGTTCCAGACGTTCAGCCGAGAATTCCCAGGATCTTAGTCCTGACTGTGGAGCTCGGACGGTAAACCCTCTCGTTCAGAGCGCAGTGTTCTCTGTGATGAATGTGTCATCTCTGTGTTGTATTTGATTTATTAGATATTTTTAATTAACAGGTCTGTGAGAGTTTCAGTCTGAATCAGAGAATAAACTGACCATCAGCGCCAGTTTATTAATAACTGTGTTTGTTCAGTCTCAGAGCTTGTGGGTCAATTTAGGTTCCACCACCTTCATAGAGCTCAGTGAGGGGGTGGGGCAGCTTACTGGATACAGGTTGGAACTAAACCCTGCAGGAAGGCGGACCTCCAGGACCAGAGTTGGAGACCACTGTACTAGATACTTCCATTTCACAATAGTGGCTTTACACCAATCCAGCCGACACGTGGCATTGTGCATAGTGATCTTAGACTTATGTGCATCTACTCGGCCATGGTAACGCATTTCGTGAAGCTCCTGACGCTCAGTTCCTGAGCTGATGTTGCTTCCAGAGACAGTTTGGAGCTCTGTAGTGAGAGACGAAGCAGATGATAGATGCTGTGTGCCTCAGCACTCTGCGACTTCGCTCTTTGAGTTGTGTGGTTTACAGATCGTGACTGAGCTGTTTTTGCTCCTGGATCAGTGCTCTCCTACTCTGGTCTTGGAGCCTCATCCCAAGGCCCTGATTGGATGGATCAGATGCAGCAGGAAATCAGCAGGGCAGCTTATTGGATACAGGTTGGAACTAAACTCTGCAGGATAGTCGATCTCCAGGACCAGAGTTTAAGACCACTGTCTTAGGTGCTTGACTTGTGGCAGAGGAGGCGTCCTATAACAGAGCCATGTTTAAAGTCACTGAGCTCATCAGTGCGACCCTCTACTGCCAGTGTCTGTCTATGGAGACTGAAAGTATGCCTGACCTTTTTAAAAACTACAGAATTAAGCACAGATTAAGCCCCTGGTTCATGAAATATCGTCGTTTCTTAAGGCAAGAAATAAAGCCTGGAAACTTGCGAGACAGACAAGGTAGGAATCTCACTGGCTTATGTTTAGAACACTTAGAAACAAATGCACATGTCTGATTAGGAAAGCTAAATCAGACGATCTGAATCTGATTACTAGCTATCAGTCAAACCCAACTTCCAAGTTTTGGAAGGCTGTTAACTCAGTAAAAATTAAGCCCTTATCTTCTGTCCCAACTCAGATTGCACTGGATGATGGTCTGATAATTGACCTAGAAGGGATGTGTGCAACTTTTAACAAACACTTTGCTGCTGTTGGTCACTTATTTGACAGAATGTCGGTAAAACCAGCTCTAAATGTTACTGAGTGCGAAGCTGCAGTAAGCCATAATGCCTGTTTACCCTGCACCCCTTTTCCTTCAGTGTGGTCACAAAAGCACTTCTAACCATCAACAAAAACTTGCCACCACAATCATTTCAGAGCATCTTGCTCATATTTTTAATCTCTCGATTTCATCAAGCAGAGTCTCCAGTATCTGGAAAATAGCCAATGTAACCCCATTGCATAAAGGTGGAGATGTATCTGATTTAAACAGTTATAAGCCAATCTCAAAACTGTCCTGCCTCGCAAAAATAATAAAACTACTAATTAATGATCAACTACAGTCATTTCTCCGAGTAAACTCTATTTTGAGCACACAGCTGTCTGGTTTCAGGAAAAAACATAACACCATTACAGCTGCTACGCTGGTTTTAGATGATCTTATTACTGCTTGTGACAGAAAGACGCAATGTGCTGCTGTCTTTGTTAACTTTTCCAAAGCTTTTGATACTGTTGATCATCCACTGCTGCTAGAAAGATTACACAGCATCGGCTTTGACCACAATGCTATTAAATGGTTTCAGAACTTTTCTGGTAGATGACAGCGTGTTGCCCTGGGAAGCTGTGATTCTGGTCTTCTTCCAGTCACTAAAGGTGTTCTCCAGGGTTCAGTTTTAGGCCCAGTGTTATTTTCAGTTTATGTTAATGATATTGTTTCCACAGTGAAAGAATGTACAGTACATCTGTTTGCTGATGAAACAATTTTATACTGTACAGCAAACTCAGCCAATGAAAAACCGAAGTGCTCCTTTAACTCTCTGCAAGTCGCTCTCCAAACCCACAAATTAGCCACAGGTTTATGCTGTTTTCCAGACCTGCTTATATTGAAAATAACATTTCAAATGTTTTTACTCTGCATGGATCCATTATTGAAAGAGTAAATGAATATAAGTACTTTGGCATCTGCCTTTTTGAGAAACTCAATAACTTAAAAACAAACTGAAGCAGAAGCTCCGATTCTTTTACAGACACTAATCCTCAATTATTATTATGCTTATTTATTGTTAGTGTCTGTTTTCTAGTAATGATCAATAACTCAACAGTCCCCCCTCCTTCACTTATTTAAGGTCCAGTCTTAACGGCCATTAAGTACAAGTAACTCATTTTTCAGGAGATTTTCCAAAATCGTTGAGTGTGTTTGGGATTATTTGGATGGTGAGAAGCAGAAAATGCTAAAAACATGCTGTTAAATATGAGATTCCTGCTTTTTTTCCTGATACAGAATAATAACTTGTACTTAAAGTAACTGAAAGGCTTCAGTCTGGAATGAAATAAATGAAGGGTCTGTGACTCTGACTGGCAGCGCTGGAGCTGATTATGTTTAAATGTAGATACTTCTTGACTTTCATTTAAGTTTCTTTTTGCTCTGTATTTTTACTTTTAACTGAGTACGATTTTGACAGACTACTTTCATTTAAGTGCAGTTCTCTGTTTTTTTCGTTAAAAGCTGAGAATTTCTCCTCTGTGTGTCTTTAATTTCTCGGTAATGATGCAGATTCAGCGCTGAGAGTCTCTGCAGTGAGTCTGAGTGAAATTATAAGAGTGACCGCCAGGCGGCGCTGCTGTGTAGCGCAGAGCTCGTAGCAGCGACGAGTAAAAGAGTCGGCTTTAAAATACAGTCACCAAACCCGTAAATCAGACACACCTGCGGTCTGTCTGACTGGCTGTAAGATGATCAGCCTTTGGATGGGAAACGTGAGTTTTAGAACTAAAAGTCTCCCCGTTTTTCCTCAGACGGCCTTTCAGAGCGAAAACAAGCCCCTTTCATTTCCTCAGAAAACTAAACGGCAGAAACGAAGATATTTTAAAACATATATTCAGGTTTTTAACTACATTTTGATATTTGATCGTTCATTTTTCCAGCTGGAGTCTTACATGGATGAGGATTTTATCCGCCGCGCTTTTGCTGCTTTGGGAGAAGCGGTGACGAGAGTGAGATTAATCCGCGATAAACTCAGCGGGTGAGACTTTAAAGAGTGACCAACTGATTTTATTCAGACCCTAAAAGGCTGAGCTGGATCTCTGGATCTGTAGGAGAACAACTGCAGACTGAACTTCCAGTTTCGAATTGGACTTTTCAGTTCCACCTTAAATGGTGCAGCAGTTCCGTTGCGATGCCTGAGACACCGGAATGTAAGAGCCGACCATTTAAGGTGGAACGGAAAATTCCAGATAGGAAGCCCAAATGACGTCACAGAGTGCAGGTGTGTGAGGTGATGCAGGTTCTCTCTTCAGAGATCCGGCTGGTTACTGTTTTGTGGAGTTTGCTGATGAGGCCACAGCTGAGCGCTGTCTACGCAGAGTGAACGGAAAACCTTTACCTGGAGCTGCTCCGGTGAGCTGACCACACACTGTAACCAGCACTGACCACACATTAACCAGCACTGACCACACACTGTAACCAGCACTGACCACTAAGGAGCACTGACCACACACTGTAACCAGCACTGATCACACACTATAACCTACAATGACCATTAACCAGAACTGACCACACTACAACCTGCACTGACCGTTACCCAGAACTGATCACACTATAACCTACACTGACCATTAACCAGAACTGACAGAACAGAACGTGGTTGGTATAGTGTAGTGGGTAACACCTCTGCCTTCTATGCTGTAGACTGGGGTTCAATCCCTGCCTGGGTAACCACCCACACTATACCAGTAAGAGTCCTTGGGCAAGACTCCTAACACCACCTTCACCTTCCTGTGTAAAATGATCAAATTGTAAGTCGCTCTGGATAAGAGCGTCTGCCAAATGCCGTAAATGTAAATGTAACTGACCACACTATAACCTGCACTGACCATTAACCAGAACTGACCACACACTATAACCTGCACTGACCATTAACCAGAACTGACCACACAAATATTAACCAGCACTGACCACACACTATAACCTGCACTGACCATTAACCAGAACTGACCACACACTATAACCTGCACTGACCACACTATAACATGCACTGACCATTAACCAGCACTGATCACACACTATAACATGCACTGACCATTAACCAGCACTGACCACACACTATAACATGCACTGACCATTAACCAGAACTGACCACACACTATAACCTGCACTGACCATTAACCAGAACTGACCACACACTATAACCTGCACTGACCATTAACCAGCACTGACCACACAAATATTAACCAGCACTGACCACACACTATAATCTGCACTGACCATTAACCAGAACTGACCACACACTATAACCTGCACTGACCATTAACCAGCACTGACCACACTATAACATGCACTGACCATTAACCAGCACTGATCACACACTATAACATGCACTGACCATTAACCAGCACTGACCACACACTATAACCTGCAGTGAACCTTAACCAGAACTGACCACACACTATAACCAACACTGACCACACTATAACATGCACTGACCATTAACCAGCACTGATGACACTATAACATGCACTGACCATTAACCGGTACTGATCGCACTATAACCTGCACTGACCATTAACCAGCACTGACCACACTATAACATGCACTGACGACACCTTAACCAGCTCTGACCACACATTGAAGAACAAGGGGGTCCAAACGTTCCTTTTAGGGGCCAAAGAACACATTTGTGATGGTCTGAACACCAAAATAAGAGACCAAACATTCCAACATTGAGACGATCGATTTCAAGTTTTAGATCATATTTATGATCGTTTACTGTATTTTGTTACAGTATTTTTAAAAATTAAAGTTTCAATTTAATCAATTATAAAAAGTATAAGAAACTTTCTGTTGGGCCACATCAAACGTTCTCGCAGGCCCTGATCTAGAACCCGAATCTGTTTCTTCTGAATGGCTTTATTTTTTATCTTTACAGCCAAAAAGGTTCAAACTGAATCGAGCCACGTACGGCAGACAGGAGAGCAGGTGAGGGGCTTGTATCCTCAACAGACCGTCTTCAAAATATGAAGCATTCTTTATGTGCTGCCACAGAACCACTTAAGGTTCCGTACAGCAGTGATAACGGTATGTGATAATAATTTGAATCCCTTTGCAATCGAGCAGAGTTGTAGAACATCTGACATCCCTGAGGACTGGTTTGAGAATCTCCACCCTAAAGAACCTTTCAATGGATGGTGCTTCAGAGAACCATTTTTTCAAATGAGATGTGTGAGAGTGAAGTACTTTTTAAGGTTGCAGGAACTTCTAGGATACTGTAAAGGTCAAATTGTTAAATAACCTTTATGTAATGTGACGGTTCTTTAAGTGACACATCTCTTTTCATACCTGGTTCTTCAAGGAACCGACAGTGGTTCTTCACTCAAAGAGCCCTTTTTTAAGAGCGGTGCTGATTTGTTGTTCTCTGCTTCAGTCCGACTTTCTCTCTCTTCGTGTCGGATCTCTCTCCGGATGTGGACGACGGAATGCTGTATGAGTTCTTCTGTATCCACTTTCCTTCTTGCTGCTCTGGGAAAATAGTGCTGGAGAGTAACGGCGACTCAAAGTGAGGCTGGAAAACAAACACAGTTCACTATCCATTCAGAACATGCAGGTTTAGTATTATTATTATTATTATTAGTAGTAGTAGTATTAGTATTAATAATAATAATAATAATAATCCTGTTATTATTATTATTATTATTATTATTACTATTATTAATAATAATAATATTTACTGTATGTGAAGGGCTTTCACAATCACAATGTTTTAGCTGATAATTGATTGTAATATGAATAGTGATTAATGATTTAATGGTCTTTTCTCGTTAACTGTTTGCATCTTAAAATACGAGCCCAAAGTTGCCTGATTAGCAACTGATTAGCCTCCTGTCCTGCTAGCTGTGTTTACTGTAGCTACACTGTGCACACACGCACACACACACACACACGCGCACACACACACACATGCACACACACACACGCACGCACACACACACACACATAGTGTTTACAGTGATACAATGATACAATGTTTACAGTAGCACAGTGTTTACAGTGATACAGTTCTGTGGTCTTAGTGTCACTGTTTGTTGTTGTCTGTGGTGAACGGGTTTAGATGCTGTGGTTTTGTGAGCTTCACCTCTCAGAGAGATCAGAGAAGAGCTCTGTCAGAGTTTCAGGGGGCTATCGGACTCGGGAAGAAGCCGCTACGCCTCCATTTGGCCACCAGCAAACCGTGAGTTCATCTCAAAGCTAAACTGATCGATGCTGTTGCTGCAGCAGAACCGTTTCACTGCTCAGCCCTTCGTCTCTGACTCTCCTGCTGAGCCTCAGTTTAGAACTGCGTCTGTTCTGTTCTGAATACAGTCAGAGGTCAGAGCACACAGAGCAAACAAACACAAAGAGAACCGTTTTGGTTGGTGTTCTATATTTGTGTGTGAATGTTGGGGGAATCTAGAATGTTCTCTTCTCATTCACACTGGTCCATTTGGTTAATCAGTTCTTTTTCAGAATGTTCTACATAGAACTGGAGACATCAGCATGCCAGTGTTTATTTGATGGGTGTGCTTTGGAAGACGTTTCACAGAGCAGGATTTCTCAGTCAGCCAGATAACTTATGGCCAGTGTTGAGGATGTTCCTCAGATCTAGTCCTATCAGACGGTCTCGGCTTTGGGTTTAAATTATCTGGCTAAGCTAAGAAATCCTGCTCTGTGGAATCCACCTGCTCTTTGAACTGCCTCTACAGTGAGCTGCTCTCATTTTTAATACTGCTTACCAAACAGAACACGTGTGTAAAGCTCTGTGTTCTCACTAGGAGTAAGAAACAGCACACAGAGGATAAGACCGGGTTCTATAATACAGAGAACTACGCTGAAAACCAGCGCTATCTATATCAGTTGTACATCCAACAATACTCCAGCTATTACTCTGGTTATTATCACAGCACAGCGGACTACGATCACTACACACACTGCTACTGGGACTCAGTACAGGTATTCTGTTATACTATTACTGTCCTGTACTGAATTCTATTACTGTACTCTGTTACTCTCCTCCTGTACTCTATTATTGTACTCAGTTATTCCATCACTGTACTCTATTACTCTACTACTGTACTATACTTTATTAATTTACTATCATACTCTGTTACTGTACTTTGTTGCTCTACTACCATATTCTGCGACTGTTCTCTATTAATATACTACCATACCTTAGTAATTTACGACTGTATTCTGTTACTGCACTACTGTACTGTAGTACTGTACTCTACTGTTGCATAATCCTACTGTGCTGTGCTGTTGTACTCTGTTACTGAACATTCCTTCTGTACTTTTCTACTGTACTCTACTGCTTTTCTTATTTGGTGTGTTTTTTATGTCATCCCATCTACAGTCCAGTTAACTTTTTCTTATTTTATGGTAATAAACTTTCTTAGTTTTAGCCTGAATGATGAATGTTTGTTATTCTTGTCAGAATGTAACTAAGAATGTAACAAATTAATAATCCTAAACAGAGCTGTGGGGAGGTGGAGGATGCTGGTTTGGAGTGTAAGTGCTCTTTTTCTCATTTTATCCTTAATTTACTTTTTAAACATTTAAACATTATTTAATCATCCCTGTTCAGATTTTTTCACTCCACCTTAAATAGTGCAGCAGTTACATTGTGGCTCCTCAGTTTCTGCTGCACCATCTTAAAATAATACCAGTTTTCATTTAATCTGACTCTGGAATCTCTTTTCCACGGATTGTTTCAGAGACATCAGTCTGCGCTGAGCTCATTACAGGAAAAGTCCACCAGAGTTTTCTGCTCTTAAAAACTCATTTTATGGTTTTCACAGAGATTCATGTTTTGTGCCTCTGAAGTTAGTTAAACATCAGCATTGTGGGGCTCAAAACTGCCTCCAGTCTTATACAACCAGAAGAATAACACTTAAACGTTGTGTCCTCGTGTGGAGGCCTGTTCCTGCCTCGTCGAGGGGAAAAATCAGTTTTTTTTTTCTTTCTCTGTTTCTGGCAGCAGAATGTAAAGTTTTCACTTCAGTCTCACAGCAGCGGGATTAGTTTAATCAGAGGTCAGTAATGTAATCTGTGTGTGATTTGAGCAGAAGTGTGGACTCGACTTGGGCTGGAGTCTCAAGTCACGAATTTGATGACTTCAGACTCGAAAATCGAGAAAGATTTGACTTTGACTTGATCACTAATGACTGGGACTCTGACTCAGACTTGAGCATCTTGAAAGTCACCAAAGTGGAAGAAACGTGGAGAGTCTGACTGTTTTTCATATTAATGGAGTCTGAAAAAGAGACACAGCGTCTCTGTTCGACCGACTTTAACAGTTTCTGCAGGTAAAACAAGCACAACATTCACCACGAAGCTGAAGTCAACTTGTTATTCACCAGCTTCGTATCGGAATTTGTTGTTTCAATTATTCCAATTTGTTGTTGGAACGGAAAATTCAAATAAGCTGCTGGTGAAAAAGTCAACTTCAGCTTCGTACATTCACCATCATTTTACTGTCTTTACTGTAAACTTTGTTCAGTTCGGTTGTTTTGGTTTCTGTTGTCACTTAAATTCAATTCAAACTAGCGTCTGTTTTTAGTTGGCTGAGCTGGTTTTAGTGCTGAGCTAGTTTTTATTTTAATCCTTTACGCCATGTTCCCCAAAATCATCTAAAATTATCTTCAAATATAATTTCAGAAGTTCAGAAGTTCTTCTAAAATTCTTTTATGTAGTTACTCTACTCTTTATGTATACAGTATGCCTGTCATGTCTGTGTACCATTGATTTTGTGTTTTGTTGGAAGGATATAAAATGATAATAAACTAGTAAAATTAATATACAGCTATGGACTGCTAACATGCTGTCATTAAAAGGCTACAGTACTGTTACCTTTATTCAGTGTTATGACCTTAAATTAGCTGAAGAATTCAGACTGACTTGTTTAGGACTCGAAAATTAGGACTATTGACTTGGGACTCATCTTGAGACTCACCTGTTCTCTGGACTTGAATCAAGACTCGACTGTCTTGGGACTCGGGACTTTAGTCTTACTCATTACTCGGGACTTTAGTGTGAAGACATGAGACTTACTCATTACTTGCAACGTAGTAACTTATTCCCTCTGGATTTGAGTGGCCGATTCTTACGGGATAAAGAATCTCTGTAATTCCCCCAAATTACCCCAAACAGCCTGGACCAAGACATCATCATGCGGATGTTTATGTGAATGTTATGCGACAGGTTCCACAATTCCACAGAATAACAACACGCTGTGCGGCTAACTGGCATATAGACCAGCATTAGGCTAGTAAAGCACGTTTATTCAGCAGAGCCAAACAAGGCAGAAAACTGACTGCGTTTCAGAGGAGCTTTGGTGAGATTTCATTTTCCTCCTCTTTGTAATTTGTAATTTGTGGAACTCGCACTCAAGTTTTTCACTCACCTGTGTCCCTGTACTCTTGTGATGTGACAATAAATCTGATTTGATTTGATTTGATTTGATTTGGCCATCACCAAAAGTGTTTTTGATTTCAGTCTCATCATGAACTTGAGGATTAAGGAATTGGGACAGATTGAACTCCATTTCAGGTGTTAGCCTCGACTTCAGGTTGCAAAAAAATAATAAAATGAGGCGCCCTTTTCTACGAGGCTGAATCAAATTACATTCTGGACCTCTGTAACTGCTGCACCATTTAAGGTGGAACTAGAAAGTCTAAATAAGAAGCCGAATTCAGCCTCTTCTATTTTCTATCTTCTATCAGCCGGTTTTGTTATTATGTTACTCAGATGTCTGTTCGACTGTAAAACTACAGACACTGCAGATTCATACTGGATTAAAATTGCAGATCTTGTTCATAATCTCTCATTTTATAATCGCTGTATTTGCTGAGGCTGAGGGAGTTAAACTGCAGTGGAGGGTAAAGAATAGAAACACCTCAACACTCGCAGAGATCAGACGAGCAGCGGATCAGTCCAGCTTTTAAGATTACATACATTCTGGTGGACTGTTCCTTTAATGCAGGAATGGGAAATGTTCACTGTAGCTGTGTGTACATTGACTTTTTGCACAAATTACAGTTGAAAAAGTGAAGAGAAATGGGGGGAAAGGTGTCCAGCAGGTTGTTTCCATCAAACTAACTTGCTTTACGTTATGATGTCATTTCCTGCATAATGCTGTTGTTGCGAAATTGTGAACATTTTGGTTTTCCCAAAACCTCTTGATTGAGATTGTTTACTTTATTAATAAATTAAGATGCTAACTTGGATCAGTTGGATCAGAGTGCATCAGTTTTTACCAGGATTATATCGCCATGGCAATTTATGATGCACACCTGACCTGCTCCACAGCCAGTTAAGTTTAGGATTTCATATCATAACCAGCTCTTGGACCAATCAGGGACGAGTTTTTTCTAACCAATCAGAAAAGATAGAAGTGAACCTTTTTTTTTCTTCATGGCATTTAAGGCGTCAATCATGCAAAGAACATCACTTTTTAGCAGAGAAAGAAAATCTGACTGCAGACAAATTTTACTCCTGAGTATCTAAACCTGGATTAATCTCAGTCTGAGTATCTAAACCTGGATTAATCTCAGTCTGAGTATCTAAACCTGGATTAATCATCATTCTGAGTATCTAAACCCAGATTAATCACAGTCTGAGTGTGTAAACCTGGATTAATCTCAGTCTGAGTGTGTAAACCTGGATTGAGTATCTAAACCTGGATTTTGGCGTGGGGGTGGGTGAGGTTTGCACAGCGTTGTACAGCGAGAAGCTCCATGGGGGTCAAAATGGTCCAGAAAGCTGAAACGGTCCAGAGTCACTAAGAGGGAGAAACCAGAAAGGTAACAGAGTCATGAGGCTCCCTGAGATGTCAGCGCCTCCCCCGCTCCACCGTCAGCAAACCTGAGTGAACGCGCGAGGCAGCGGGACGACGGCACCAACACTCTCAGTTTACCATAATTCTCTATGACCATGAACCCCAGATCTGCACCTTTTATCTAACAGGGAAAACTAATTACCAAAGGCTCCACTAAACAAGTGGGTTTTTAGCCTAGACTTAAAGACTGAGGCTGTGTCTGAGTCCCGAACACTGATTGGAAGATTATTCCAAAGCTGGGCGAGAAGCTCCGCCCCTGATGTAGCTTTATTAATTCTAGGTACTAATAGTAAGCCAGTATCTTGTGATCTAAGTAGGCGTGATGGTTCATAGTGGGAGAGAAGTTCACTCAGGTACTGAGGGGTGAGTCCGTTTAGTGCTTTATAGGTCAGTAAGAGAATTTTATAATCAATGTACAATTTAACTGGCAACCAGCGCAGGTTTGATAAAACTGGGCTGATATGGTCGAACTTTCTGGTTCTAGTAAGAACTCTGGCTGCAGCGTTCTGGACCAGCTGAAGCTTGTTAAGGCTTTTGCACGGACATCCAGCCAGCAGGGCATTACAGTAATCTAGCCTTGAAGTAATAAATGCATGAACTAACTTTTCTGCATCCTGTAGAGATAATGCATTTCTCAATTTAGCAATATTGCAGAGATGCAGGAAGGCTGTTCTAGTAATATTCATTATGTGTGCGTCGAAGGACAGATCAGGGTCTATAATGACACCAAGGTTTTTTAAAGATGAGCTTGATGCAGCTGAGAAATTGTTAAGTTTAAGTGTTAAATCAGACAGTTTGTTTCTGGCTGCTTTTGGACCAAGAAGCAGAATCTCTGTTTTATCCGAGTTTAGAAGGAGAAAGTTACTCAACATTCAGTCTTTTATGTCTTTTATACAGTCCTCAATCTTGCTAAGTTTAATTTTGTCATCTGGTTTTAACTGTGTGTCATCGGCATAACAGTGGAAATTGATGCCGTGTTTACTGATAATGGTGCCCAGTGGTAGCATATATAATGTGAATAATATAGGCCCTAAAACAGAGCCTTGTGGAACACCATACTTTACTTTTGTGAGGACAGATGATTCACCGTTTACATTAACAAACTGATAGCGATCAGTGAGGTAAGATCTGAACTAGGAAAGAGCTACTCCTATTACCCCTACCGGGTTTTCTAGTCTATTTAGTAATATAGAGTGGTCTTTCATATCAAATGCCACACTTAGATCAAGGAGGACTAGCATAGATACATTTCCTTGGTAAGAAAATAATAAAAGATTGTTTACAATTTTCACTAGTGCTGTCTCTGTACTATAATGTGGCCTAAAACCAGACTGAATTTTTTCCTGTATAGGAACTTAATTGTTCTGCCACGACTTTTTCAGTGAAATCTGTCACATGGCACTAACTTTATGCATAAATGTATAATTTTTCCTGAAAAATAAACATTTATCAACAAAGACTTTCTCCACTGAAGTTGAATGAAAAACAGCTATGATGAATAATAAAATATTGCAGACGTTCCGTTTCCACAGTCGACACTTTGAAGCGTTAAAACATTTTTTGTTAAAATCTGTGGATTTAAATGTAGCTGTAGACTCTGTGAGTGTAATGCAGTGATACTCAGGGGAACATCTGCACTTCTTCTCCTTCTTTATCTTTTTCCTCCACCTCTTCCATGCAGATCCAAACCTGGAGCTGGATGTTGTGGAGCTCAATAGGAGATTCATGGAGAAGAGTGAGGAGCTTTACGACGCTCTGATTGGCTGTTACTGCCAGCCTCCGGAGTCGTGGGACGGGATCAGCTGTAGCGTAATGAGCTGTTTACCAGAGCCAGTTTACGAATATGGGGACACGGAGTGGCAGTGAACACTTTTTGTGGTGGTTATGTTGTTGGTATTGTTGCTATTTTGTTGATGTTGTTGTTAGCAATTTGTATTTGTTGGTTAGTTTGAATAAGAGCAGATATGTCTTTATGAACCTGCAGTGATTCAGCAGAGGTGGTTCTTCCTGAGCTGGAGTTTCTGTTGTATGGTTTTGTGTTTCCAGCTTTCCATGTGTATACTGTATATATAGTAAATAATCTGTTTACAATATTTACAATAAATGTACTTTTGTTCTGCATAGTTGCGCTGTTTTATTCTTTGATTTGTGGCGCCTCAGCAAAAAGGGCCTGGGTTCAGTTCCCCGGCCGGGTGACCGGATTCCTCTCTGTGCGGAGTTTGCATGTTCTCCCCATGTCTGCATCAGTTTTCTCCCACAGTTCAAAGACATGCATTGGAGATACTAAATTAGCCCTCGGTGCATTTGTGTGTGAATGTGTATGTGTGTATGTCTGCCCTGTGATGGACTGGCGGCCTGTCCAGGGTGTTTTCTGCCTTCCGCCCAATGAGCGCAGGGATAGACTGTGTTTATGTGTGTGTGTGTGTGTGTGTGTGTGTATTCTTTCATTTAAACGCAACACAGAAACTTAAAATGCTTCACAAAACAACCACTTTTTAATGCAGTTATCCAATAAAGAGCTCATCAGAGTTGAGAGAGAGAATCTGCAGTTGCTACAGTATAAGAACCTCCTCCCCGAGTCTGCTCAGTCTTCAGACTCTCTTTGTGTGATAAGCTCCTCAGGCTGGAGGATCAGCTGGGAAACACATGAGGGTCACATGGTGGTTCAGTAAGAGATGATTTTCAGGAGAATAACAGAATCTGCTTCATCTACGAGCCAATATAAATACATAAATACGTAAGAATAGTTCATTTCATTGTGATCATTTACTCGGCGGATATTTTTGGTACTTTCCTGAATTTAGCTTCTTAATCGGTAGCTACTTATTGGAATTGTCCGTTCCACCTTAAAGAATATAGGTTAACTGCTACACCATTTAAGGTGGAACGGAAAATTTGAATAAGAAGCTAACTTCAGCTTCGCTTGAAGCCTGATTTGAACATTTTAGTGTTGGATTTGCGTTTGAGTTATTTGAATGTTAATTTTCGCTTCGTCATAAATAAAAGCATTAAAACACAGATTGTTCTGTGTGTCTTTAAGGCTGTGACGCAGCGCGGCGAGAAGAGCCGGAGGAGCCGATTCGTTACTCCGACGGAAAAAGCCGAACTTGAACGGATGTGTTCACGAAGGAGACGGCCTCGCAACAAGTAAGATTATTCCACTGAAACTAAAATATTTGTATTTACAAAGCTCATTTTACTCATTTTATATATATTACAGATGTAGTTTTACAAGAGCTGAAGACTTTTTTTGGGCGTCTAGCTAGCAGGCTACATTAGCTAGGTTAGCTTAGCTTAGCTGGGTTCTGTTTAGCACATCTCAGTTTTACCGAAGGATGAAAAGAGCGGCTCAGATTAGATTAGATTATTTTAAATGGACTTTTCAGGCTTTTAAACCGTTATCCAGGTGTAGTTCGCAGTAGCTGCCGTTGTGTAGTTTAGAGTTAGCCGGCCGTCGTTAGCCGGTGCAGCTAAAACGAAGCTGAAGTTGGCTTCTTATTCGAATTTCCCGTTCCACCTTAAATAATGCAGCGGTTACGTTAGAGTGCCGGAGGCGCCATACTGAAAGTACTGCTCTGTTTAAGGTGGTACGGGATGTTCGGATAAGAAGCCAACTTTAGCCTCGTCCGGCTAAACTAGATTTAATGATTGTTGAATTAATATTTTAGAAGGTTGTTTATCTTATTACTTTATGGAGTGTTGAGAAACATAAAGTGCTCTGAATATAAATTAGAAGTTTAGTTACAGACCTGATTAGATGTAAACAGGTCAGAGATCTGTAATGTGAGTTAGCAGTTAAATTAGGTCAGTGTTTTTATGTTTCAGTGACAGTGACTGTTCTTCATAATTGTAAAGTGAAAGGTGATATGCTGAACACAAACACACACACACAGAATGTGTTGACCACCACAAATAATAGTCTAACAGAACGTATCTGTGATGAATCTGCAGATCTGAATAGGACAGATAAACGGGTGAGGCCGGAAGTCAATAACACACGCTGACAGTGAACAAAGTCAACAAGCAACACAGAATAAAACATGAAACAAACTAAAACAAATTCTCAAGTTAAATATCGCTGGGGGTCCTTAAAAAAGGCACAATTTTTGAAGCACATCTAAAGTCTCTTAGCGTTCTTACGCGTCATTTCCTTTAAAGAGAGGACGTTCGAAAAAGAAAAAAGGGACAGTCATATTTGCATTTATGAATATTTCTCTAAAATAATGATAACATTAATAAACAGACCCATACTGCTATCTTCCGTTGTCGTTACATCATTTACTGAAAAGGTGTTCAGTTCTGGGATCTTAACCTTCAGCCGTGTAAGTCATTTCAAAATAACCCTGAATGAGTGCATCATTAAAGGGTGGTCTGTAGTTTTAATGTTATTACAAAAAAATGCAAGAGTTCTGTTCAAAATCAAATCTAAGTCTCAGAAACTCACTTGAGGGGTGAACATTATTGATCACTTTATAGTGAACTTCCTAAGCTTTGAGGGCCAAAGGTAATGTGAAGTAACATGAAAGTAATTTAGAAACGGATTTTTTTAGGATAGCATCATAACAGCATGTTTCCAGGTATTTGTAGTGGATATAATTCAGGGCAAAAACCCTGCTCTTACTAGTCTGCCGAACCTCAGTAGTAATGCAGACCCTTACGTAAGTTTGTTATTATATATTATATTATATTATATTATATTATATTTATATAGAGACCCATGATGTCTCAAGAATAGTTTTTTCTGCCTTGTATTTAACTGCAACGTAAATTACATCCAAATTAACATAGCATGTAACTGTGACAGCTTCACAGCTGTGGTAGTTGTGGTTTGTTTAAATAATTCTGATAAGGCGATTGTGACAGCAGATATACCGGCTAATGCGAGGTCAGTGGTTTGACCTCCTAAAATTCCCAAAATAATCTGATTAGAAAGTGAGTTTGTGAACCAGTTTGTCAAACTCAACTTCATAGCTTCTGTCCTGATCTGAGATGCACCAATATTGGAGTTTTGTCCTGGAAATCTGCTCTGTCACTTTAACTTTCTGAGGTGTTTGTTAAAGCAGATTTCTGTTTCCCAGCCTTTACAGACAACAGCGCACTTCCTGCTCCAGCCCTCCTCCTCGTTCTCCTCAGTGGTTCATCCAGGACTGAAAGGAAAACGAGCAGCCATGTCGTACGGAAAGGCAGACTATCGTTCTCCGCCGCGGGACTTCAGCAGTCTCATTCAGACGTGTAGCTCTAACATCCAGAAGATCACGCAGAACAGTGAGTTTTAGTCATGACTGTTTGTAGTATTGCAAAACAGCCAAACTGTCCTGTTCCGCAAATCATCATAGTGCACAGGTTTGGATGGTCAGTGATTTACTGGTTACTTCAGGTTGCAGAAAATTCTCTCTTCCATTCCTGCTGGATTTGAGTGCAGCATTAAGTATAGTTTGCTCTGGTATTTTAAAGAGATTGAAAAGTTGGTTTAGACAGACAAGCTGTCGTCTGGTTTAGGGGTTACCTGACTGCCCTCTATCAGTTTGTCAGTGTAAATGGGAATTTTTGAACATAGACTGCAATATGGTGTCCCACAGGGCTCTGTTGTAGGACCCTTACTATTCTCCCTTTGTTTACAGTCCCTAGGATACATCATCTGTAAACATAATGTGGCCTTTCGTATTTATGCTGATGATACTCAGTTAAATTTTAATAAAACAGAAGTGCTGTTATTGGGTTCTAAGCTTGAAATAATGTAGTTTTTGTTTTTGAACTTAATAGTTCTTCATTGTAGATGTAATGAACTCTAAATGCTCTGAAGGGCTTGAATGAAAAGGGATGAATGAAGTCAGTACAGATTTGATATGCTGGTGAGATATTTGTCCTTTCAAATGGAGGCACAGTCTGTTATTTTTACTTTAGAGGCCAAAAAAACACAATTGTAAACTTTAGGATAAAAACGTTTAAAATGATATAATCAGAAACACTCAGTCTGCTTTTAGGACACATTCACCTCCTGCTTTACCGAATATTACTGACTTCAGTGTTCACTCACTTTAAACTACTTCTGTTCTCATTCTGACGGTGTGTCTCTGCTTTAGCTGCTCAGATTAAAAGTATGGTGAACCAGCTGGGGACCAAACAAGACACCAGTGAACTGCAGGATAAACTGTAAGTGTTTATATCTGAACTTATTTTTGAGACTTTTTTGATTTTCCTCTTTTAAAATACATTAGTTGTTTTTCTCTATTGTATGTTTTTGTTTTTTTGTGTTAGGTTTTACTGAAATATATTGTAGTAATTTCTTGCTTTTAAAACTCTTTTCAGACAGCAGATGCAGCACTACACTAATCAGCTGGCCAAAGAGACCAACAAACTTCTGAAAGATCTGGGTGCTCTTCCTCTGCCTCATTCTCCCTCTGAGCAGGTGTGTTTGTGTATCTGTGTTTATGTATCTGGGCTCTGAGACAGTGAATAGTTTGGTGTGTGTGTGTGTGTGTGTGTGGACTGGTGGTGTTCGGCTGCAGGAAAATGCTCCCCTTCACAGCTAAGGACGTTTTTGGTCTTTGAGGCTTCCCGGGCCAGCTGTCTGTGCTATACACTGTAGTTGCGGTGTGAGACTTTCCCTGCTGCTAAGGACTCTTTCCGGGTTAAGTGACTCTATATTGTGGCCAGTGGAATCCCCCCCTGCTAGCTGTGGGAACTATGGAGTTGAATATGAATTGTGTGTTTGTGTGTGTGTGTTTGTGAGTGTTGTTGGTTATGTATTTTGTTACCTTCTGATTGTGTAGCATCTTTGACTATGGAAAGGTGCTACATAAATAAGCAATGATGATGATGAACTGTAGCTTTAAGATTCTTTGCTCACACTCCGTTTAGACGTCTGTGTGACTGTGATGAATATGATAAATGAGAGAGTAGAGCTGTGAAAGTGACCTGAACCTCATAGCTGACCTTCTCCTTCACAGAGACAGCAGAAGATCCAGAAAGACCGTCTGATGAACGATTTCTCTGCTGCTCTGAACAACTTCCAGGCGGTCCAGCGTCGCGCGGCAGAGAAAGAAAAGGAGTCCGTCGCCCGAGCGAGAGCTGGCTCTCGTCTCTCTGTAAGGAACCGAGCACGTTCTCTGTACACATGAGTAGAAGTCATGTTTACATTTGGTATAATTTTAACAAGTGGAGGAAGAAATTTTTTTTACGTATTCTAGATCCTATTTTTAACATGATTGGTTTAACTCATGTTTAACTGCAGGTTGAAGATGGAGGTCGTGAAGAGCAGCTCGTCTCGTTCGATAAGTAGGCCATCCTCTTGTTTGCTTATGACGGACTTCTCTTTAAGTAGGCCTGTGCTGAGTGATGTTAACTGAGTTGCCGTGGTAACAGCGTTCAGGGACAGTAAAAACTCAGTAAGACACTATTGTTCTCACACATGAACATGACTGAACTGTTAAATGTGTTAATGATGTGAAATCTTACATTAATGCTTTATTTATTGTACCAAAGATTATTGTGTTGAGCTGAGCTGGCTGAGCGCGCTCAGTTCTGCAGGCAGATATCAGAACTGCACAAACACGAAACGCTGCCTGTAAGTTACTGTGCACAGTTTTAGAACTTCCTCAGAGTCAGACTAATTAAAATTTTAATTTTACACACACACACACACACACACACACACACGGATTGCTGCCTGGTTCAGTTGTTCACTGGGGCTTTTTTCCCCCCACTCAGTTACCCAAATAAGAGGCTCTGTTACCGGCACAGGCCTACCTGTAAACACAACCCTGAGTCCAAACTGCACATCACTGAGCGTGTGTGTGTGTGTGTGTGTGTGTTAGTGATGGTTTTGGTCAGACTCTGACTCAGACAGATGAAGCAGCGATAACGGAGGAGGATTTGGAGCTGATTAAAGAGAGAGAGACCAACATTCGGCAACTGGAGGTCAGAATCACAGCTTATGCATGTTTAAATGCACACCTACAATTCAGTATTAATCTGAGATATTAATCTATTATTAATCAATGAAATTAATCTGACTCTTATTATAATCATATTAGTCTAACTGAGATTAATTAGCGATATCAGACTAAGATTTTAATCAGCAATATTAATCTGATATTTTAATCAGTGACATCTGGCAGATTTTAATCAGCAATTTTAATCCAACTGATATTTATCAGCGGTTTTAATCTGAGTGATATAGTAATTCTAAATTGTGGTAATGTGGGTAAACGGAGTTGCATCCTGAAGGGGGCACTTCATGTTATTAAAGTGTGTACTGACCTGCATGTAAACAGAACTATAAATGAACTTTTGTACTTTATGTAGTCTTTCAGTTTATATAAACATCCTGATTTGGGTCATTTCAGTCGAGCTGTCGTGTCTCTTTATTCTCTGTAAATTTCCTGTTGTGTTATTTAATGATTTCAGCTCATCAGTAACGTGAGGAAAATATCTGGGGTTATTGTTCAGATGAAATTATGTTCAGATTTTTTTTTTCTGTGTTCTGTTTGCTTGTGTTTGAACACTGTGCTGTTTTTCGTTCTGTGTTTTTGATGAAGCTCTTTGTTTTGGTCGCAGTCAGACATCATGGATGTAAACCAGATATTTAAGGATCTTGCGGTGATGATCCACGATCAGGGGGAGATGATCGGTGAGTTCAGTCACTGTGTCCACTGTTTAATTAAGTCATTAAGTTTATTAAATGCTGTTAAAGCATTGGGGGGGCATGGGGTTGTGGGAGCTTTCTGAAGTTGTAGTTTGACATGAATCCTTGGGCAAGACTCCAAACACTACCTTCACCTACCTGTGTAAACTGATCACACTGTAAGTCTCTCTGGATAAGAGCGTCTGCCAAATGCCCTAAATGCAAATGTAAATACTTCAGTGTTAGCACGGTGCCCCCTGCTGATCTAAAGCGTCCCCACAGCACAGTGCGCCATAATTCACTGATGGAGTTTCCCCTCACAAGTCTAGGTGTTTTAAAATGATTTTAAGAGTTTTTAGTGTCTGACTGATATTTTCTGTTTTTCTAATGTTTGTATTTAACTTTATCTTTTAATTCTGTGTTAAGTTTTATTAATATTGATCTTTGAACCTTTGATTGAGGTTCACAATTTAATGATAACAACAGTCTGATGTTCAGGTGTTTATTCTTTTTAAGATATGTGAAGGTATTTTTAAATTTAGCCTTAGAGTTCACTATAAAAATGGACAGTCATGTCTAAGCATCACTAGAAAAGATTTTGTCAGTGTCTCTTTAAAAGCATGTAAATGATTTTGATTATGTGATTACAGACAGTATCGAGGCCAATGTGGAGAGCGCAGAGGTGCATGTGGAGAGAGGAACCGAGCAGCTCCAGAGAGCAGCGTATTATCAGGTAACACAGTCAGTCCAACGGGAGGAATTCAAAATGATGCAGTGAAAGTGTGGAGCGCTTTATCTGTATTTAATAATAAGAAAGAATGATCTGTCGTTATTTGTCATCTATTATTATTAAAGGTAAAGAAACAAGTGCAGATCAGAGCATCTGATTATTGTTGTTGTTTTCATTATTTATTATTGTTTAGTTGTTGTGGTTTCGATTTTTATAATTGTGGTGATGTATTAAATTCTCCTCCTCAGCAAAAGTCCCGTAAGAAGATGTGCATCCTGGCCTTGGTGCTCTCCATAGCGATCACTGTCCTTGGCATCATCATCTGGCAGGCCTCCAAATGAGGAAAACCTTCTGTTCTTTTTTTCTTTTTGCTTTTCATGTCTTTATTTATTTGTTCCCTCCCCACACTGAGGCACGTACTGAGGGGTTAAAGGTGTCAGTGCTTCCTTCCTGTAAGTGTTCACAGACAGACTGAGGAGCGCTAACGACTTGGATACAAACGCGGATTTCTGACATTCCCATAGAAACTCTGGTTGCTTCCCTCTCTCTGCGTTAAAGTCAGGAAGAAGATGACGCTGGAGTGTTAAGGGATTTGCTTTCAGACAGTAAAATGATTTAATTAATTATTCTGTTTTGTTTTCTTTCCCGTTGTATTTACTGCACTAACACTAATGTCAGTATCAGGAAAATGATTTTTTAAGGATTGCTTTGAAGTTGAAATCTGTCGCCATGGAGACAAGAAAAACGTTTCTTCCCATTCTAAAGCTCTTTTGACTTTGAAATTTTCAGTGTTGTAAAATGTGTACTTCATTTCAGAACTAGTAACACTCCTAAAAGATGGACTCCAATATTAAGATGAGCTGCAAAAACGAAACATAAGTCGTTTTTTCCTCTTTGAGTGTGAAAGTGTGTCAGCAGTGTTGATGTACAGCGGTGGTGTCGGCGGTGATGACGACTGAAACAGAGTTCCTTGGTTCTGTTTCTTTACTGTTTATCCTGTAAACTCTTCTATATTGTGATCAAGGCTGTAAATGTGCGTAAAAGCTCTGCAGGTATAAATGATACAGATCTGTTTATTAACTGTACACAGATAAAGAAACATAAAAACGCACCCTCACTTTTAAAATAAGCAGAATTGTCTACTTGTGTTCTTTTTTTTAAATACTGGTAATTGATTTATATGACTTCCATTAGAATATGTAAGTAAAGAAACATCTCAAATAAGTCTGTTTTCTACTGTAATTAAGTCACATCAGCCACAAATGCACAATATACACAATGTTTTATTGGTGTAGCGAATGTCATGTCGGTTCAAGGCCTGAAAAGGTTCAGTTAGATCGTCCTATAGTGTAATTGCATCTTAATTTTGAGGGGTTAAAGTTGGTTCTAGAAACTAGATCATCTTGGAATTCATATATTGGGCTGCAATACAAAACTTGGATGAATTCCAACTTGATTTGTTAAGTTCAAGTAAAATGAACTGAAGTATATGTGACTTTGGAAAATCATCTAGCTTTAAATATGAGGCATTTCACCAGATGGCGTTAGAGAATCCAAATCACAAGCTTGGAATGTTTTTCTGCATTGATGGAATTGATGAGTAGATCTGCATTTTGGAAGGTCAGATCATGATGTTGGTCCAAACTTGGATCATAGTATTAGATCAACTCTGATGACTTTGTTTGAGTTTTGGATGAGACGTACATTATTTCTCTTACCAAGTGTGTTACACACATGAGGAATCAGTCTAAGTGAATCACACGTATGACATTAACACACTGAACAGACCAGACAAACACAGACTGATCAGCTTTAAACTAAGAGACAAATAACACAATAAAGAGAATAAAGAGTTGATGTGAGAGCAGCTAAAGAGACTGAATATCTGTATATATACAGTTCTGAGTAAAAAAGTAATATAATAACTATTGTATACGGTTTATTACTGAGTCATATGAATGTTTAGTGTTGAAGTTAAGGTAAGGTGTAGGTTTATTGTTTGAATTTAGGGTTAGTGTAGCCTGTGGGACAATAGGTCCCAGCTGGTAAGGAAACAGGAGATGCATCATCGCCTGGTTTGGGAATTGCACCGCCTCTGACCGCAAGACCCTACAGCGTATAGTGAGGACAGATGAGAGGATCATCGGGGTCCTAACCCTACCTCATGCTCAGGAATGAGTGCTGTGTCGGCGCTGCACTGTCCTGTCTGTTTACTGTGTCTAATGTCTGTTTAATTTGTTGTATATACTGTATTCTTTCTAGCTTAATTTTTTGTTTGCACACTGTCTGCACGTTCACACTTCGTACATTTTGTTCCATGTTGCACCGTGTTGTTCCTGGAGGAATGTAATTACACTCCACTGTGTACTTGTAGACAGCTGGGATAGGCTCCAGCACCCCACCGCGACCCAGAAGGATAAGCGGTTTAGATGATATTGTGGGTGTGTGTCTGTGTGTACTTGTACATAGATGGAATGACAATAAAAACCTCTTGACTTGACTTGACTTGAGGAGGGGCACTAGGACCCAGCAGGAAGGCTAGTTTTCAGAGTCGGGAGCAAACGCGAACAACTTCAGCGCTCTCGAGCCCCGCCGTGTGTCGGCATTGTTCGAGAAACATGCTCAGAATGCCGCCGTAGTCTGGAGTTTTCCGACTTCTCCATGTGTTCGCGCTGAAAACGCTGGATGAAGTCTTGGTGGTTTGCCGCTTAAACTGTCAGAAAGATTGGAGATACAGCTGACTGTGGAGGCTGGTGACTGAAGGAGAGCTTTCAGAGGCTCAGCAGACACAATTACTGAAATAATCTACAAAGAGAGTGGCTGAAGACAAGACTGCAGACATTGGCGTAGCCACTGTTTTCCCCACCTTTTTATTTGTTTTCTTTCCTCTGGCTTTTGTTAGGTCATTATTGTATTAAGAAAATAAGGTTTTACCTATTTAAATTGGTACCAGCTTGGCGACGTATCTATATTATGGGTTTTATTTTCCCTTCTGAATTTGTTGTATTTGAAGTTGAGGGTTGGTGTCCAATATTTCTTACTTTTAAATATTGCTATTAGTCGTTTGTATTGTTAATGGAGGAATGTGCAATATCCTGGGGTCATTAGGGTTTACAATTTAACCAAGTGGGCTTAGTGCAGTATCTTCTTGAATGTCAAGCTCTTTATTGACATTTGGAATCTATTTTTATGTGGAATTAAATGTAATTTTATTTTTATATTAGCTAGTACCAAGTATCCCCTTATTAGGGCTTAGAACATCTTATTTCTTTGGTTCTTCTAGTTTGAACTGTGGTGCTTGTGGATAGGTAGCTCAGCTAAGGTGTATTGAGTGCTGTTGTTTTCTTTGTATTGGGCAGTGTGCTGTTGCACCAGGACACAGGTATTTTTAGCCCTTGCCATCTCTCTCTCTCTCTCTCTCTCTCTCTATACATATATATATATGTGACCCTTCCTATCGGGTGTTTGTCTGCCCTGGTCAATAATGGACACCAAGTTGGAATGATGCAGTTTTATTTGCCTCCTGTAATGAGTATGGCAACCACAGTTTAAGTCTCTGTTCATGCTTCGGCCAGCATACAACACGGCAGCGTGCAAACGCTCTACTGCCCAAAGAATACATCGGTCTAAATACATTTCCAAAATGAACCAATGACATGAGAGATATACATTGATGAAAATAATACAATTACCTTTACAAATTACTATGATCGTATAGTGGTGAAAGTGCTTGTGTTTCCATATTATGTTCAGTTTTTAGATTTAGTCTACGTTTTACATTTCCATCAGTGTCAATATGAATTATATTTCATAGCTACATCATCCTTTTTTAATTAGTGAAACATCAACAAAAAGGTAAAATATGAAATAATGCCATCTGGTGGCGAACACAAAATATGGCATCCAGACCACATGGTGCAAGAATAAGCTAGTTAAACCAGCTAGCATTGCTGTGCTCATTGATACTGTTCTAATACACATTAAAACATGAATATAACATACCTGTAATGAGTACGGCAACCACAGTTTAAATCTCTGTTCATGCTTCGGCCAGCATACAACTAAAGAAACAGGCTAACGTTAGCACAGTCCAGTTCAGGTTTAGCTTCGAATTTATAACTCTTTAAATGAAGCCCATCAGGGTGTACTGGTCTCTATTCCATGTATTTCAAGACAGTAGGGACAAAAGTCAAATATTACAACACTTCACATAGTTATTTGCAGTTTTGCTGAGCTGAACATACGAAGCTGTACTCACCACGGCAGCGTACAAACGCTCTACTGCAGAGGCTGCACCGAATCACCAATATATGAGCTGTAATACGCTGACCGACCAGCAGGTGGCGCCAAACCCATTTAGCAGGAATTTATACACACACCCAAAAACTAAACAGTTAGCTGAGCTGCCTATGCACAGTCACCACAGTTCAAACTAGAAGAACCAAAGAAATAAGATGTTCTAAACCCTAATAAGGGGATACTTGGTACTAGCTAATATAAAAATAAAATAAAATTTTATATATATATATATATATATATATATATATATATATATATAATGTAAGTGATTTCTTTATTCTTTGTGATCTTTAGTAAACTTGTGGTATTAAGCCATCAGTTGTGTGGTTAGGGTTAGGTGTAGGTGTACGTGTAGGTTTATTGGTTTATTGTTCCCTAACCTGAATCCCCTAACCTTTTTGAATTGAAAACATGTTTTTCTAATTTTTGCCAGCAGGTGGTAGTATTTGTTCAGAATAGTTTCTAATTTTTAATGTAAATTGTGTAAAAGACGAGTTTAAATTAAACTTTCTGCTTTCTACTTTAACATAAACCACCAGAGCTACATATATAATGACTAAATTACATATTTTTAATGCAAGTTAGAGGAAAAGAATTGTTTGTTAAAATCAACTTTACATTTTTTTTTAATTAATAAATACCAAATTCAGTTGGCAAAAAAGACGGAATTATACATTTTTAATGTAAGTTAACAAAATAAGAATGTGCTCCAGGATCGAATGAGCCATGGATCAATATTCCCAGCCAAGGTTCACCTTACAAGGGTGGAGCATCTTTGACATGCCCTCTTGCTGTTTGGAGCTCCATAGTTCCACAGAACAAAATGAAAATTTAAGTACAACAACAAAAGATTTTCCAAATGCAGTAATAACATCAAAATTACAGATTGTTTATGTAAGTTAGGGGAATGGAAGAATATGCTCCAGTGTCCACTGAACCAGCGATCACCATTCCCAGCTAAGGTTCATCTTACAAGGGTAGCTCCATAGTTCCACAGAACAAAGTGACGGTTTAAGTACCACCCCCACCCAAGATTTTCCGAATACTGGTATATAGTATCACATACAACAGTCCATCCTCTGAAACTACCATCACAGACCAGTCTTTATTCTAGCATCTTACTCACCTGCCTTATTACCCCACTTACCTGACTGTTGCCTCACTTACCTGCCTTATTACCCCACTGATCTGACTGTTACCTCACTTACCTGCCTTATTACCACACTTACCTGACTGTTACCTCACTTACCTGCTTTATTACCCCACTGATCTGACTGTTACCTCACTTACCTGCCTTATTACCCCACTAATCTGACTGTTACCTCACCTCTCATTTTCTTTGCTACTATACACCCTTTAACTGCTGCTGTACTCAGCACTTTAACTTAAGACACATACTTAATGTAAACTTTACAGGTATGACTGTGTGTGTGTGTGTGTGTGTGTGTGTGTGTGTGTGTGTGTGAGAGAGAGTGAGTGATGGTGGGAATGCATGAATTACTTTGGATAAAGGGTAATATGAGTATCTACCTGACTTTCTGGCATAAAAGTGTTACACATCATCAGAAACATGGCTTTTAAAAGAGGAGGTGTGGCTAAATGTGATCATAACCAAAAAGTAAAATTATAGAATTTAAATGTCTAAAATCAGAAAGAGTCCATAATATGTGTGGTGGACCAACATGACCCAATATCTATTCACAAAAGCTCCACAAATATCATCAGGATAATGGATCGGTTATGTAAATAATTTTGTATCAGTACTGACTGTATCAGTATTCTATATTGTTAATGTGTTTCAAATTGTAAAAGCAGTAATGATGATGGAGA